GTCACACCGGCCATCATCCATTAGAGTATCATACTGCGTCCTCCAGCTCTCCAGAAGCCTACAAAGTCCAACAATGCACCGACTGGGAGGTCTTACAGGTCCAGGCATGTCAGTGGGGCTATGATCAGCTGATTAGCTCAAAGTTAGGGGCTGATTAGTTGCAAGTGTGCTGTGCTGGACCTCTTGCAACATGATGAACTTATCATTGGCACCTGGAAAATCTGGCAATTGGCAGTGGGCACGGTGAGAAGCTTTTGCTTGAAAGGAAAATTTGGGAAACAGGACCAGAAGGACAACCCAAGTCGGATCTTCAAGGAGCAGCAATGTTTTCTCAAGTGACACGACGTGGATACGTCAAAGCTCAGGTCCTGAATACTAAGCAACCAACAAACTGACAGAAAGTTCCATCCTATTCCCAGCTGGGTTGCCTTTTTGCAGCTTGAATTAGAGCTGAAAGAGAGGGATCACCTTGCAATAAATTAGTATAGTGCACCATGAATTAGTCTGCAGCACTGCTGCCGGTCAAACTTCGGTCAAACCTAACAAAGTAAAGGCTTTGACTTGAGCGCCGTCAGGCAGGTGGCGCGCGCGCGTGACAATTTGTTTTCCACGTGGCACGTTTAAGGTCGTCGATGTATGGTAGTGTGCCCCTTCTCGGATCGGACGGTTGCGGGATACAATTGGCCGGTTCACCAGCCTTTCGAAGATCCGGCGTTCCGCGTGTCTAGACTCTAGACATGACATCATGCAGTGCATGATGCACCATCCTACCAACTGGTGGCATATGACGTTTCACGACGCTCGGTAATGCTTCTGGAGCGCTAACGGCCACTTGCTGACGTATTATGAATGTGGCCTCGTTTTCATCCAGAGGCATGCATGATGCACAGCCGCTGCTAGTTCCTGTTTGCGAAACCCTAGAAATTAAGCTGATGGATTCACATGGACTGCTGAGTCCAGCTCGACAGCTACCACCCACGAGCAAATGTTTGCCCTCATCGATGTCAGCCATGACAGGCAGCTTCGGGCGGACGGTCCTTCAGCGATCTCTCCAGTTCAGGTCCTTCCTGTTGCATCGGCCTGTGGGCGTGCCACTATTGCATGAGGAAGTACAGGCTCCACTGCAGAGTCTCTACCCCGACGGCGGCCCCGCTGCTGTCCACCACCTGGGGGCAGTGCGGCGCTACTCGTTGGTGCCGTACGTGCTGGAGCACACCCCACGCGGGGAGCGCGTGTTTGACATCTACTCGCGGTTGCTCAAGGAGCGTATCATTTTTGTAAATGGCGCCATCACAGATGACATGGCGTCCCTCGTGGTGGCGCAGCTCCTCTTCCTTGAGTCCGAGCAGCCCAGCAAGCCGGTGAGGCAAACCCTCGCACACACCGGCGTCTTGGCCGCTGCTTTGTCTGCCCAACAGCGTGCGCCTGATCAATGAATGAGCGATGTTGCATGAGCTTGTGAGGTGTTTCGAGGTTCCATGAAGGTGACAGCGCAGAAACCAGCACATCAAGAAGTCCCTGGCAGGCCGGGCATGGGCATCAAGCTGGGAGTGACAAGGTCATAGCTGCTGTTGTCTTTCTTTGAGGACCTTGCAGCAAGTTGCTGAATTTGAAGAGGAGTCACTCTGCCCTGTCGTGTGCAGATCAACATGTACATAAACTCACCGGGGGGAATCGTCACAGGGGGCCTTGCTATCTACGACACAATGCAGGTAACCTTCTCCATATGCTGCGCTCTCTAAGCAGCAAACTTCTTGATATGCACCTCCATATCAAACTGATTGTTCTCATTGCGCCCCTCGTTTGAGTTGCAGCTGGTGTCGCTGCCCAGCAATCTGCATATCAGATGCTTCACAGCCAGGTATGCACTGAAGATTTCAAGAGTCTACCCGACACTGCACCCAAGGGGCATGAAAGGCTGCCCCTTTTCTTGCCTCCGCACGCCCCCCGTCCGACTGCTTCCGAGTGCCCCTCTGTGGTGCAGTACATTCAGTGCCCCGTGAGCACGCTGTGTGTCGGGCAGGCCGCCAGCATGGCCAGCCTGCTGCTGGCGGCCGGCGCACGGGGGGTGCGGCGCAGCCTGCCTAATTCCAAGGTCATGATCCACCAGCCATCGGGGGGCGCCAGCGGGCAGGCCTCCGACATTGCGATCCATGCCAAAGAGATCCTGCGCACGCGCGAGCGGCTCAACCAGCTTTATGCACTGCACACGGGCAGCAAAGCAGAGACGATCGGTGAGCGAGAGCGACCTTTGTAGGCTGTCGTTTCCCGATCTTGATTGAGGACAAACGGCTTGCGTATAAAGGTTCGGAACTTCGGAATCGACTAGATTAGGGAGTGATATCGCAAGTGCTGCTATGTACGACGAAGGTGATCTGGTAATCCTGCTTCTTTACCACTTCGACATTTGGCCTTTGCAGAAGCATCAATGGAGAGAGACTACTTCATGACACCAGAAGAGGCAAAGGATTACGGGATTATAGATGCCGTCATCCAAAAGCGGCCGGCTTCACCGCAGGACAATGGGTCGAGTAGAAATGCAGATAAGGATCATCAAACTTCTGGTCTATGAAAAGCCGCATTGGTGAGGGAATCTGCCTACATTGGTGTTCCTATTGTCCAGGCTCATGCATGTGTCAGATGATCCGGGGCTCATGCATGTGGGCCCAGGTCGGTGATTGAGGCAGCTCGCCAAATCTATTTGTCACCAGTGCTCGTATGTAAAATACGATCCAAGATACACGAATCATAGAAAGTGTAGCGTTTTATGAGCGGGTTGGATTGGACGCGGGCCGGATATGCAATATGATTACATAAGTGATCTCCAAGACGCAAGATTGATCCGCAGGCCGCCCCGCAGCACGTTCGATCGATTGAAGCTGCATTCAAGTCGCGCTGAACTATACATCGCTACTGCACATGAGCTTCAGCGAAAGCTTGAGTTACCTAGGTCGATACGGACTCGATCATGGGCCGGCCATGGTGTGGCGACGTGTTCCCAATGTAGATTCGATTCATAGTACTATCGAGGCTGGCCGTGCATGCGATCCTTGCATATATGCAACCCGGCCACCATGCAATTGTGGACCGGACCAGTTCATTATAGCTATATATATAGACGGGGCCTATGCATGCTAGTATACTTAATCTGTACCTGCATCGTTGCATGACGATCCGCGTGCTGCTACAATTGTACGTACCCTCAGTAATAGAAATTTTGCCTCAGCAACATGAGACCGTCTGACCGTCCAGCAACATTTCATGTGTACGTGCACATGCTGCAAATGATGTTGCGCACATATACCAGACGACGTGTGACGGTTCAGCTAGACGCCTTTTTACAATAAGATCAAACATGGACGAAGCAGCCGCCTCATCCCACGGCCTCTGCTCCATAATCGTCTCTTTCTAGGTCGTCCTCTTCGACGCTCTCGTCATCGACCGACGTGGCACCGCTCGTGCTATCTTTCCGCTCCAAAAGTGAACTCTGCAACCGCTCCCGCACCGCTGCCGTCAGCTCGGCGGCAAATGCGGGGTTGTCCCGCAAGTACAGCTTGCCCTTGTCCCGGCCCTGCGCGAAGTTCTCCCCTTTGTACGAGTACCACGCGCCCGACTTGTGCAGGAGGCCCTCCCGCACGCCGATGTCCAGCAGCTCGCCCTCCTGCGAGATGCCGCGCCCAAACTCGATGTCGAACTCCGCTGCCCGGAACGGCGGCGCGACTTTGTTCTTGGCAATCTTCACGCGCACCGTGCTGCCCACTACCTGCACACCAGCGGCCATGTCAGCGCCGAGCCAAAGAAAGCAACCCACAAAAACTACAGATGTTCATAGCCACAGTACAAAGTACCGACGGGTGGACGGGCAGCCAGTTGACGCACTTCTCGTGTTCGGAAGAACTAGAGCTTGAGGACTTTGGCACGAAGCAAAGTGCAAAGCAATTGCCGGTCGCCGCAATCGTATCACCGCCTCAAGGACGTAAAGGGGCCACTTCTTGTAAGTAATGTCCGAGAAAATTTGGTCGGTGCACGACTTTCTTGACAGGATGCGAAGTAATCCAGTAATTTTCAAGTGAACCACGCTAGTAGCATCCTGGGAAGAAAACTGAGTAAAGCAATCGAAGGCTCCATGGCACACACCTGCTCTTGCGATATGTCCCGTCAGGTTACGCAAGTTTAGTGAAAGGTGGAAAAGCTAGAAGGGAAGGCCAATCGAGTCATTCCTCGTTAAGGCGATTCTCGACAAAAGCGGCCCAATTTTAGCTTCAATCCAGGCTGCAAAACTATTGACGAACTCCCAGCAGGTCTCTTACTTGAAAACATGCACACAGCCTTTCCATTTCCTGGTGCTCCCCTTCGGTCCACCAGGGCCAGCATCCGACGTAAGCGCAGAGCGGCTTCTTCACGTGCGTCCTGGCCGCTCACCTCTTCTCCCTTTTTCAAGTACGCTATGCGCCGAATGTTCAGCCGCACCGACGAGTAGAACTTGAGCGCGTTGCCGCCCGACGTGACCTCCTGGGGTCCCCCGAACCCTCCGAACGTGCTGAGCTTATTTCGTATCTGCACGGGCGCCGAAGGCAGACGAGCGTCTGTCAAGATATAAGTCGGCTCTGCGTCTTTCAGGAGCCTAAGTCACCAGAAAACCCACTCTTTTATGCGACCATGGGAACCGATCCAAGTGCTCGTAATCTCCGAAGTTATGGTTTGCTGCAATCCAACAACCAGGTTTGACCAAGCGCAGGCAAGACTCTGTGGCTCCAGCCATGTGCAATAACGGCCTTCTCACCCATTCACCGTGTTCAATCTGGCTGGCCTAATTTCCGGACCCACTCACGTTTCGGACCCTTTCAATGCAAAGTGCACGCTGAGGTGCTTCCTGCCTTCCCTCTTGTGATACGACCGCTCCTTCGAATGTCTGGCAGCCAGGACAATTTGCTGAGATGGGCAGTCTGAATGCAAGCCCACGGATGCCTTGGTGGTGGCGCACCTGGTTGATGAAGATGAGCAGGGTGTCGCTCTTGGCAAGCGAGTGCGTGAGCTTGCGCAGCGCCTGGCTCATGAGGCGCGCCTGCAGGGCCATGTGCGCGTCGCCCATCTCGCCCGCCAGCTCCGCCTTGGGCACCAGCGCAGCCACCTGCCACCGCACAAGCACACGTGAGAGGAAGTGTCGAAGATAAATATGCACAAATCTCCTTTCAGCGGGTTCAAAATAATTGACCCGTCACAATGATCCCCAACCGTTAGTCAAAAGGGCAAACAGTCTCTTTAGCACTCTCATCTCCAATCTGCCATAATTGCTAGATCCTTTGACCAACGAAAGCCGATACTCGATTGCACCAATCGCCGCTAGGACGGAGCAAGTCATAGGCGTTCATGAATCTCGAGCCGCCCTACGGGCTCTCAGACAAGTTCGGTCCATTCTAGACCCCTGAGAAGCTTAGCTCGACCGCAGCCGCGCTCACACTGTCCACGACGACCACGTCCACGGAGCCGCTGCGAATGAGCGTGTCCGCCACCGCGAGCGCCTGCTCCCCGCTGTCGGGCTGCGCAATCAGCAGGTCCGCTGTGTGCACGCCAATCGCTTCCGCAAACGAGGCGTCCAGAGCATGCTCAGCGTCAATGAACACGCACGTCCCTGCTAGCAAGAGGGAGGCTCGAATCGACACCGAAGTCACTTAATCAAGATGCTTTATGGCATCGTTTTATGGGGAGAGAGACTTGCGAAAGAGAGCGATACGCTTGCTCCTTTACTCCAAGATCTAGAGAACATAACATCATTCCGACAGGCAGTTGCGGTTTTCTCGACACAATTGAGCTTAACAAATGGTGAGAATACCCACAGCTGGAAGGAGCGATATAACTATGCTGAGTCAAAGTCTTCAAACGATGAAACAAGAAACGGGTCCAGGAACGTGAACAACGCTGTCGCCATTTCTTATCAAGTGAACGCTGCACCTCACCTCCCTGCTTCTGCGCTTCTGCCACCACATGCAGCGCCAGGGTGGTCTTCCCTGACGCCTCCGGTCCAAAGATCTCCACCACTCGCCCCTGCAAGCATGAAAGTATGCAAGCAGAGAATCAGGCCGGCAACAACCATCAAGCTAGAGCCAATTCTAGAGGGGCAACTTCAAGTGTCATACCCATCAAGGTGCCATGTGAGGAGAAGCCGACGCAACCTGTGTTACACGGAAGACATCCATGGAACAACGATGTGGCTTACCTTGGGTAGCCCCCCCACCCCGAGCGCGGCGTCCAGTGCGAGGGAGCCCGTGGGAATGACCGCCACGTTCTTGTTGGCCGCCGCCAGGTCCCCCATGCGCATCACGGAGCCAGACCCAAAGCTGCTCTCAATCTGCAGCAGCGCCGCATCGAGGGCAGCCCGGCGCTGCCCGGTTCCCCCTTCATCAGGAGGGGGCAAGCCCTTGGGGCTCTTTCGCTTCACCTTGCCTGCGAGGGGGCACCAGGAGCAGACTTCTTCATACACAGCTTTACAGGCAGGGTCCCTTTATGGACACAGAGAGGATCCTACCACTCAGCCAACGTTAGAGTCGAAGGGGGGGATCATGCACCTAAACGAAGCCCCCACTGAACACAGGACTGAACAGGGACGAGTCTGGGCCCCTTCCATTTCAGAAAGTGGTTATGTTCGCGCTACCTGCACACTGACCTTTTCCCACTTCCCTCAACAAATAGCCCCATATCCCCATACAAGTGGGCATCACCTTCCAGCTATACCACTTTCCATCAGCATGAAGAGACCAAGCTAGCAGACTCAGGGGAAGAGGTGGTGATAACTCACCCATCGCAGCTGTGGCGAAACTCTTGATGCCCGATGCCCCTGCTGGGGGCTCAGTGGAAATTGCACTCTGAATAGACGAAAGGAAACAATCGGTTCTCATGGCACAATCGAACCAATCAAACTCCAAAGTCTCTGTGTGACGTCCCGTAAGCATTCCGCACCCATATGACGCCAACAAGTTCAAGGGGACGCAATTACAAGCGAGCCAACTTTTGATAGCTTTACATTTACTGAAGGTGTAACTCGCAAGGGCGTAGAATGGTTGGAGGAACATCCAGGCATCAGGCTCCCTGCTCCTGCCAGGCGACTCACCTCCAAAACGGCAGGCCCAGCCTGCCCCAATCCAAGCATGCCTGGGGCAAATGCTGCAAGCGCTGGCTGCCACCGGAGAATAGCAAAAGCTCTCTCGAAGCTCCATGTACTGTGCTTCAACAGAGCCATCTCCTTCTCCACACGCCAATTGTATATGGACTATGCCTCCGGAGCAATGCCCAGCTAAACAAGATCTAGATTTTTGCGAAAGCGTTGAGTGACCAGGCTGAACAAGTGAAATGCTGCCCCTCTGCATGAGCAGGTCCTGCCCACCGGTAGCTGTGCAGTAGGTAGCTGAGGCGCGCTGTGGCCGGTGCATGCCGCGGTCCTGCTTCAAGTTCCACTCTCTTGCACTGAGAACTGCAGTTTCTGCGGACTGCAGCTGTCTCTGCAGTAGAAATCGCTGCTCAAATATACATGCATAAGAATGATTTGTAGAATATAAGCTGCTCTCAAATCACCCACATACGAGCTCACTGTATACCCTGGTGGTACATAACTGTTCAGGGCCCCGCCAATGCGGGCAGAGTCCAGTCTCCAAAACCAAGTTGGGGGGTACTGAAGTCCTGCATATTCGCTTGTCCATTTTCCGTGGACGTGCTTGTATTGGACGGATAATCTGAGACATAAAGCAATCCCATTGCTGCAATGGCATATGAGCCTTCAGGAGCAATCCGGGAAGAAGGTTTCCATTCTCATTGTCAACGGTTGGTGGTCGTGGAAGGGCGGTCGATTGAGTCACGCGCGTGTCGTGAGCAGTGCCAGAAAGATTGCTGAAGGGAGAGCGTCTTGGAGAGGAAGCACCTGCGTGGCGTGCAGGACAAAGCACTGTGTGCAAGCAGGGACACCGCAAGAATAGGGGTCGAAAAACCCACAGGTCTAGCCTGGTGGAGCTTAGAACCTATTGGGATGGCAACAAACAATCGGGGTCCTCCTCGTGGCCCTGGGGGTCAAGGGGGTCCTGCCGCAGTCAGACCACAGTTGCCGGCCTGGGGCCCAAGGCAACCAGGTAACGTAGTTAGGGGCACAGCACCGCCCGCTGGTGCTCCTCAAGCTGTGCAGCCGGCACAGATACAGGGAGCTGCACCCCCTCCCCAGCCACCTCCTCAAGCACAGGGACAAATGCAAGTACAGGCCGCTGCAGGGAGCAATGGGTAAGGATTGGCAGGGAAGGCATTGAGCCCAGCCATTGTCTGAACAATGGCGATGCATTGGATGACACAAACCTATGCAATGATCAACTCAGGGAGACGTGTCCCCACATGGCAAAATGTTTTATGTGCTTCTTGCTGTGAACATTGTATCCCACCAATTGGTTTGCCAGGTCTCGCTCTTGTTGTAACTCATAGTTTGCATTGATGTTTGCAACAGGGCTCAAGACTGGAAGCAGCAACTGAAGCTCCCCCCTGCAGATACCCGCTTCAGAACAGAGGTAAAGGCTCCCAGCAATTTAGTTGCATGTCTGACTGATGAATGCACAGGCTTCTAAAACACATCCATGCTCACAGCTTGGAGCCTTAGGATTATGCATTCATGGGGAAAGCTTCTGCAAATGAAGAGGACATCTGTGTTCGCCTAGATGTGGCATTGTTTGCTTTATCTGCATACGGTTCTGTCGTCAATGGGGATTTCCTCATACAGCTGAAATTCCGTTTGCAGGATGTCACCAATACCAAAGGGAACGAGTTTGAAGACTATTTCCTGAAGAGAGAGCTGCTGATGGGAATCTATGAGAAAGGCTTCGAGAGACCTTCACCCATCCAAGAAGAGAGCATTCCAATCGCGCTTACAGGCCGCGATATTCTTGCTAGAGCCAAGAATGGCACGGGAAAGACAGCCGCCTTCTGCATCCCCGCTCTTGAGAAAGTGGATACGAGCAAGAATGCCATTCAAGGCAAGTGTTGTGTCGTCCTTTTTGCTTACATAGATGTGAATTGTTTTTCATGATGCTCTGTTATGCAGGCTTCAAGCAGTTAACGGGGTCAAGCATCTGCACTATGATCGCAAAGAGCAAGTGCCTTTGATTCATGCGGTCTGCTTCACAGGGTTCAGTCTATTGGGAGCCAGTTTTACCAAGTGTGCTTCAATTGCTGCTATATCGACGAGCTCAGCCTAAGCACTGCAAAAGAGTTGCATTGCTTACTTGAACAGAAAATGGCAGAAGCAGGTATCCTGCTGTACTTTCTCAAGCAAAGAGCCAGTCAGGTCACCCCATTGTTACACGCTGTCTATTGGTCGTCAACTTTTGTCATACACTCTATTGCTTCTGCAGTTCTGCTGCTGGTGCCGACTCGCGAGCTAGCTTTGCAGACTTCTCAAGTTTGCAAGGAGCTCTCGAAGCATATGGGCATCCAAATCATGGTGACAACTGGAGGGACTAGCCTGAAGGACGACATCATGCGTCTCTACAATCCAGTCCACGTGTTGGTAGGGACTCCTGGTCGTATCCTCGACCTTACAAATAAGGGGGTGTGCAAGCTGAACAACTGCACGATGCTAGTCATGGACGAGGTAAGGCATCATCACTGGATGCTCCGTGAACCACAACTGTCTTCAGCATTGCTGGAGAAGTTGCGTCCTGCTTAAGATGCTCGCTGACTTGGATTTCAGTCCTGTGACATCAGTCCTGCGAATTGCGCCCTCTAGACCTGCGCTGATCAAGCTCCTGCAGTTAGGCATTCGGATAGGGATGCTTACATTGGTTGCACATGCAGAGTCTCAAACCGTATATATTGCTGCAGGCGGACAAGTTGCTGTCCCCGGAGTTCCAGCCCCTGTGTGAGCAGCTCATTGGGTACACGCCGGAGCAGCGCCAGATTCTGCTGTACTCTGCGACCTTCCCCGTGACCGTCAAGTCCTTCAAAGACAAGTTCCTGAGGAAGCCGTACGTCATCAACCTGATGGACGAGCTCACGCTCAAGGGTATCACTCAGTACTATGCTTTTGTGGAGGAGAGGCAGAAGGTGCACTGCCTCAATACGCTCTTCTCAAAGGTAAGCGAGACTGCTCAGCTTGGCTATACTGCGTGTGGTTCTCCTGTCAAGCTGCATTTGCTGCGTTCTAACAGCGGAAGTTTCAAACATATGCCATGATGTTTCTTGATTAATCTAAGGATGCACCTTGTAGGAGTCTGCACTTTTCTTACATGGCTGCGTCCACAGGGCATACGTGAAGGCTAAGATCTTGTGAGTAGCTGAGCTCCTATGTTTGACCTTCTGGCTGACTGCGTGTCATGTTGCCTCGGTGCAGTTGCAAATCAACCAGTCAATCATCTTCTGCAACTCTGTCAACCGGGTGGAGCTCCTTGCGAAGAAGATTACCGAGCTGGGTTACTCGTGCTTCTACATCCACGCCAAGATGCTGCAGTCTCATCGCAACCGTGTCTTCCATGATTTCCGGAACGGAGCCTGCCGGAACCTCGTGTCGTCAGGTAAACCTTAACGCTGCCTGCAACAGAATTCGGCCTTATTCTTTGTCGGGGACGAGGCTTCGCTACAGCCGGCGACAGTAAATTCACCCCTTGGATCGTATAGAGTATGCTTGCGTGTCCTTGTATGTGTATTCTCAGGAAAGCACATGTAGGTGCATCTTTCAGCAGGTGGCGCTTTTTGTTCTTCACATCCAGGAGCTTGCACCTGGATCTTCCCTGAGACAGACGATGGGCAAAGTTCCGTAAACCCTTGTCCGGCACTCCTCTTGCTTTGCCTTGCCACCTCTGATGAGCAGTCACCCTGCACGTGCAGACCTCTTCACCAGGGGTATCGACATCCAAGCTGTCAATGTGGTCATCAACTTCGACTTCCCCAAGAACTCTGAGACGTATCTCCACAGGGTAAGGATGGATACTCATATCGGACCTCCTCTTGCCCTAAGTAGAGGGCATCAAGCATGTCAAAGTTTGCCGTGAACATGCAGGGCCTCTCAGGGATTGCCTTTGCGCCAGTAGCAGAAGGCCCCATGCGATCATGGGAAAGTTTGGCTTGCACCTGATTCCGTTCCTTCCTCAACAGTCACCTTCTGCTGTGGTGGTAGAGAATGTCAAGCGTTGCTGATGGCTGGACACTTGTTTCCGTTTTGCAGGTGGGCCGGTCAGGAAGATTCGGTCACCTAGGCCTGGCAGTGAACCTGATTACGTATGAGGATCGTTTCAACTTGTGAGTTTTTCGGCCCGTTTGTCCACGATACTTTCTGACTTTCCTTTGAGCGTGGCAGCGCATCTGTCGTCTCACCCAATCTGCCCTCCTAGAGCACGAAGTATTTTAGGCTTGCTGGATGGACACCCAACGCCTCAGGCTTTTTTGAACTGACAAAGCCGTGCCACTGCCAAGGTCTACAGAACACGCGTAGAAGTTTGATCTTGAGGGAGTGAGTTGCTGACTTTCCATGTTGGGAGGTGATGAGACCTTTCAAGTTGGCAGCGTCTGGCACAGCTGGTGGGAACGTGTAAGTTTGACCGATTGAAAGGAGGGGCAATTATATGGTTCAGAGCATGCCGCTCGAGCTGAGCATAGGTGTCAGGTGCAACGTGTCGTGTATCCGGTTTTGATGGCTGGATTGCTTGCTCCTGTATGCAGGTATCGCATTGAGCAGGAGTTGGGCACAGAGATCAAGCCCATTCCTCCTCAGATCGACCGGGCAATCTACTGTCGATAAGTCCGCGGGCAGCGGACTGCGGACGGGGGAGGGCGAGGTGGTGGTCTTTCACGGGCTTGCGGCAGATTGTTGGTGGTTAGAGTAGGAACAGGTGCACAGGTAACAGGTATCGGACGCCTGCAGGTAGTGTACAGAGATAGTAGCGGTGTCTGTCCGAAAGAGGGGCGGTGCGGGGTCCGCTTCGTGCAAGACGCCGGACAACCTAGCAGCGAAAAGCTGGAGTGGTTGCCGGCAAGAGAGGCGAGGCAGCAGGGCGCTGCTGCGGACGGGAGGCCTGAGCTCGCAGCGAGTCAGCGCGTGCGCACGGATGGGCTGAATGCTGTCCCCGCCCGCCGCGCAGCGGGCAGAAAGCTAGCTACTGTAGGCGAGTGAGGGGCCTTGGGGGTGACTCGGAGTGAGGCATGCGCTCGGCCGCCCTGGAGAGGAGCAGAGGGAGGCGGCTTAGAAGCAGCAGCTCGAATGAACGGGAGGGATTTGTGAACAATGTTAGCAACTGTGCCGATTGAGTGTCGGGAGGGGGTTTGTGCTCTTATGGTGTCAGGAGAAGGTCCGTGAGGGTACGGACCTGACAGTGGAGTGCAACTCAAAATCGGAAGCGGACGGACTGGTCTTAGGTGACGACCATCACCACTTGGGCGGTCAACACTGCCCGGGTGCACCAGGGGGGGCCGGAGATCCAGAGGTGCAGAATGTACCTGTTTGGATGGAAATGGGACGTGCTGCAGTGGATGCGGTGCTTTAGAAGATGGTTTTGGATGATGAGGGGTTTGAGCGATGGCAGTATCTGAAAGTGGCATGAAAAGGAAGGGTTTGAAGTCGAAGTTGACAAGACTGCAGTGGAAAGTCGAGAAGCGCCTCTGGAGGAGTAATTCACACAGTCTCGGAGAAGAAAGTCGTGCAAGTTCATGCGCGAAGGCTGGGAAGGATGTTGTCATGAAGAGTAGAGAGCAAGTGCGAGATGAGAGGGGGATTTCAGGTCTATTTGTTTTGAAGTGAAGCAAGAGTGTGGCTATCGCTGAGCATGCTTTTAAGGACCCGATAGAAGCTGATACTCTTCAGTCGAGGAGTCTTAAGGGGTCCGAAACGTGAAAGAATTTGCGGGTTCAAGGGCATAGAGCAGATATCTGGTGTGGGACTTGTGGTAAGGCATATAGGGGAACTTGCTTACCGAAGGAACTCAAGCGACACTAGACAGGGCTGCCAGTTATTATCAAAGGCAAATCCTTCACAAAGCTAGTGCCGCCGACCTCTTCACCGCTCAAAGTCCAGTTGAGTTTTAAACGTCTGTCAAAATGCCGTCTTTGACAGCATGTGTTTGATGACAGTGCAAAACAGTGACAGAAAAGGGTATCGGCGCATATGTCCGATCACTTATCAAGGTTCGAATGACGTCCTCTTGGCAAATGCTGCAGCTGCGTGGGCCGAGCTTGCTGTGAGCTTCCATCTTATACCCACAAACGCTGCCTGCAGACTAGTAGACCATGCATTGTTTGTTCTGGCCGACGGCTGACTCAGTGATATATGCGCAGTTTACTTTGTGACCGTGATTGACTCATGTTGAGCACGTTCACGGTTGCAGACTCATTTGACATGTACGGTAACACTAGCTTGCACGTTGACACAGCACATGGCCACTTGCAGCTTAAACTGGCCGCGCGGCACGGCAGCTGCCAGACTTGACCTCTCGTGCATGCCGCGGGGCCTCGCCAGAACGATCCGATCATGTGAGACTAGCCAACTTAGGATGATTCTGAAAGTAACATAGCTTGGGGCCGGGCTTAGCTAGACAAGATATGACCATATCATGATTAGCTTTCACTGGATTTTACCTTTCAAGTTTAGTCCAGTTACGGTCTACCTTCTATAAGCCTAGTGCCTCCCAAGCACACGTAGCCTTTTGGAGGCATCATACCATATGCGTGAACACACGGAGGCACAACATGCTGATGCAAGAACAACAACTGTGCTTACATTACCATGCCGCCGCATCAACATTGATTGTGAAGCATACCTACTAGGTGCTTATGACCTGTCCCGACCTGTATGCTCATAAGGTTGGGCAATTGACTTGCACTCTCGAATGTCTGTTATCATTGCTACCTACAACCCAAGCACAGAAAGCAAAGAAGCGCCGGAGTCAGATCAGGGACAATATTGTCAAGTGATTCCTCATGGACACCGGTAACATGATTGTTGATGGCTTCCAATGTCATAACCTGAGGTCACTTAGATCTCCATCGACTCCCCATAGTTCCGCATCACCCAGATAGCCCCAGCAAAAAGACCTGCGGCTCGTAGAAGCCGCTGCCAACAAGACCAGATGTTAGAAACTGTCCAAGGCTGAACTATCGTGTAGAATTTAAGTTCGTGATAGAAAAGAATGGTGAAAATGAAAGCACCAGTCCACCTTCAGGGGGCTTTGCAGCTTGCCTGCTTGTAAGAGACCTGTGGCACTAACCTCGTCGAAAGCTTCAAACATGCAAAGTGTAAACTTTGCGTGGGGTCTGGTTTTTAGATGTAGACTCGGGGGCCACTTCAGGATGAATGGTTGCAGGATCTCTCAAGTGATATACAAAATTAAGATGACAGCAATAAGACCAAACAGCCCAGATTCTGGTAAGATCTCGGGTAGGCCCCAGATTTCTTGGGTAGGCCGTTAATTCATCAGGCCTCGAGTTGATTGACGGGAATCGAACTGGTTTCTCCAGCAACTATGATGATGGTGGTGCTGACCACTACCCAATGAACCTCACGACAGATTCCCATTGAACCACCCATTAGAAGGCACCATTTCAGACCAACACAGATCCAACCGGGGTGGTTCGAAGCAATGTTTTGCTAACAACATACATGCATGCTCTGCTCTCTAAGTGCCACTCAGCGAACGCACTGTCAAGGCGCTGTATTGTATCTTGAATGTCAAACCCGCAAAGTAGAGCAGTGGCCAGGTCGGAACCAATATTGAAGCACTTGAGGAGGAACAATGGATCGAGCAGCACTGCTGCAAACTCCAATAAGAGAAGCCCCCTGTGGCCCCATGACGCATTTTGTGGCTCACCAGGGTTGCGGCCCGGCCGCTCTCGTCCTTCACATGGGTAGAGAAAAACCGGGACACTGCCGACTCCTTCCCCGCCATCAGACCCTTTGCAACTGCTGTAGAAATCACCACTTGGGCCCACAGTTGCAACTTCCAAAGCTAGGCCAGCGTTTTCTTTTGGCCTTGCAAAAAAAATTGAGTTTCCAGCTAGGTATCTAAAGGATATGAGTAGGTAGCTAGAGACAGCAGAAATTGCCGCCTGAGCGCCCGGCCGGGATTTCTCGCGCCGCACGCGCATGACAATGCCGGCCGGCGGCCGCGACTCGACCCTACGCGAGCCTACACGTGCCGGGAGGGTTTAGCCTTTGTCAAGATTCAATGCAAGTTCAATGCCATGCATGATGCAGCTAGCTAGGACTCGGAGCTTGTCAAAGTTGTGTCTGAGGTCTTCCCAGTTGCGAAGGCGCCCTGCACGTGGGGGCCATGAAGGGGCCAAGCTGCCGTATAGATGGTGGCTGAACAGTGAAAGCAGCAGTGGGCAGGGAGGACTTGCCGGTCCGAGGTGCACGTGGCGTGTGGTTCAGCCCCATCACACGCTATTATTGTCTCCAACACACATGTCCCATGTATTCTGAGTGTTGGCTGAGGGACTGTGGGGTTGTAGCCAAGGTGGCCGGTTACAATGGGTAGTAGTGTCGGGGTTACTGGCCCCACTACCATCCAGTGTCTCAGGCTAGCTGTGTTGCTGTTCGGCACACTTTTGCTGTACCACCCGGCGCGATCCCTAGTTGATTCCCTGCATTCTCCACACAATGCTGAGTTGACTATTTTGAGCCCCATTGGCGTTATCCAAGGCCCGGCAAGCCACAGATCTCCTGGGAAGTATCCCCAGTGCCAGTGTGAGAAGCAACCGGAGGAAGGGTGCGGGTTTCTGGCCCCTCTACAAGATCTGGTGAACCAACCCGGGTATATCGAGGGGCTGCAACAGCCTCCGTGCATCCTTTTGGATTATTGGCTGTCCGTTCAGGAGCCTTTGTTCAGCGTCATTCTAACAGTACATAATCAGAGCAGACTCCTGCAGAAGAACCTGCAAGCACTCCTGGATTACACGACGGGGTTATGGGAACTCATCATTGTCTTTGACTTCTGCACGGATAACTCTCAAGATCTGGCCTTGGCTCTTCTGCAGAATGCCAGGCACCCTGACTCCTTGACACATGTATTGCTGATCGAACAGCCAACTCCGGTATGGGAGACAAGTGCCAACAATATTGGCATGAGGGCGAGCCACCCAAGTGCAACGCTCCTTGTGCTGGTACAAGACGATATGCAGATGATCACCCGCGGTTGGAATTCTATTCTTGCTGTTCCGGCACACTTGTATTCTGATGTGGTCGCCGTCAGCGGACGGTGCGCCCACATGGCGTACAGCATTCAGGAAAGCACGCTGCCGGAGAAGGTGGGCCGCTGCGAAGGTACTGAGCTTGATCGCCCTTTGAACGCAAGTAAAGAGACCATGTGCACTTTCCATGTCAGGGATACCGTCAACCGCGGGCCATTGCTTTTAGTTGCTGACAAGACGAGGGCGCTTGGATATTTTGACGAGGTTAACTTCTATCTCGGGGATGATGATCACGATTTTATGACGCGCGCGTGGCATCAGTACGGTTGGGTTGCTGGGTGGATGCCACTTGACTTCATTTCTATGACAGAAGACGGGGTATCCCGGCGGAAGCAGAACTATACGATAGAGGAGATAAGTTATTTGAAAGCTCGAAAGGAAAGAATCACTGGGGGCTTCCATTCTTATAATCGAACAGAAGACCACAACGAAGATAGAATAGTTCCTGAAGAGTTCAACTGCCTAGACCATGATAATTGGTGGTTTCAGAGTTGAGTTCATTCCTCTGATGCTAATAAATGGGGTCATCATGTAAAATTTTGCTTAGTACCATAGTTGTTGTCCTGTAGAAGCCCAGGGTAAATAGTTGTCGTTGAGTCTGTATCTAGCTAGGTTCATATTTGCTTTGACGACCCGATACAGCGCTTTCAAAATAAGAGTGCAGCCTGAAAGATATTGGATCAGGCTCTGCGTGACGGCATATTCGTTCATCTCTCTTCATTCGAGAATCATCATGGGGACGGTATCAGAATGTGCACCTTGGCCGGTCGACTTCAATCCTAAGAGTGCGGAATAGTGCCAGCGGCCCGTAGTTGCCATGATTATAGTGAACGTGCTTCGGGCTCAGACATGCATGACTCATTCAGTGCATAGAATACATTGTACTACGCAACACATGCCAGCGCCTGGATGCATGTCATATATGGAAATCGCTGCATAATTAGAGTTTGAAGCGGTACATATCAGCTCCGCCACTTGAACCGACAGTTGTCCAATGAAGCTAGCGCATGTGCCGCCATCACTGACTACTAGCTGCTCCAGCATGTGCATAATCGGCATGTTAACTGTACCTAAGTTGCAATTGGATTGGGTGGCAGCCGGGCCGCCGCGACGGGCCTGAGAAATTGCATGCATGCCCAGGCTAGCTCTAGGCCAGCCAGTGCATCGCGACCTGTTAAAGTTGATTAATTGTTGTGGCAGCACTTGAAAGTCGCCACACTTATGCTGCACGTTTGCAAATTTGATCTTCTCAGTACAAGCTAGGGCGCCGCTATTGGAAAAGCATCAGTGCGCATACAAACTTCAAGGATACGATCCTCTACAGAGCGCAATTATGGCCGGCAAATATTCTGCGATGTGCCTGTGCATCATTGATCCGTTTCTGCCATTCGATCATCAGCGCTGGGAGTTGAAGTTAAGGATCGATCAAACGGGACGATATGTAGATTGAAGTTCATAGAACGGAGAATGCGCGCCCTGACAGGACGACACATCAATATGACAGGACAGATAAGCAGCCCTGTGATAGCACGCAAATCTTTGAAGTACTGATGCATGAATCGAACAACACAGCACTCTGGAAGCGCGCCTATGGTCCAAGTCCAGAAATTACCCAATTCGTTTCTAAAGCAGGGGTTTTCGACGTACTTAACGTGGTCAGTCCCGGTAGCCGCGCATCTGCTCGTGCTCCCCGTCTGCGTCGGAGTAGTCGCCTTCCATGTCAGGCCCCCCGTAGATATCTTCCCTTCGCCGACCGCTGCAATTGCAAAACGAGACACTCAAAATCAGATCTGGCTTCTCAATCGCTGCCCGCTGCCTTTCGTTGTCGAGCTTAGAGCCTTTCAATCATGCGATAACCCGTTTCCCCAAGGCAGTTGGCCGCCTCTTCTCCGAGCCAATACCTAAACAGAGTGTAGACACAGCTAATTATCCTCGACTTGCCCTCAGCTTATGACGGCCCAAGGACCCTTCCTGCCAAGAATACAGAATAATTCTCGGCCACTCACTCGTCTGAGGGCGACCGCCCGCGCGAGCTCCCCCTTTTCCCTAGTCGCCAGCCCATGTCGATGTCGCTGCCCGGGCTGTGGTCTTCCTCGTCGTCGCTGTACCCGCGAGGCCCCGGGGGACCGCCCCCGCCGGCGCTGTACGGCGACCCCTCGTCCTCACTGTCGTCCTGCACCCACGCAAGCGAACACGGTTGGTCACGTGCCAAGGGACATTACTGAAGAGTAGGACAGATAGCCTATACGAGACACTTAAAATGTGTCTCGTTCACGGTTAAACTAACCCTTCTGCAGGAATGTAATTTTTACTAAGTTGCTTAGAGACAGTTTACTGTATCCTTCTCAAGTGAGCAGCGACCGGCCTTCGTGTGATCCCGGCCGGCTATGAGCAACCTACAATACCTTCCGTCCGTCTACCTTTCGTTGCTAGCCGCGATCTACTCAGGGCGTCGAACCCGCCTTCTGATCCGTGTAATGTCCAAAGCAAGAAACGCGATAGCGTTCTTCTACATGAGAAGCCGCACCAGTCGAGCGGAGTCCAATCCCCCGGGTCCCTCCATCTACAAGTTTCTCAATCACTAAAACTTGCAGGTACTGAGAAGAGAACCTCGCTGAGACGGGTGGGGTTAGTGTTGGGGTTTAAGGTGGGACGGATGCGGAGCGAGTAGAGTTTATGGTTTAAAATGCCGTGCAACTTTGTTCTTAGTATAGCTTCTTCCAACGGTGTTAACAGTTATCCTCCGCCCTGCCCGGGTGCCTCACCTGGACGGCGTCCATCCATTCCCGGTTGTGCGCTTCGAACTTGAGCCGTCGGATGGCCGCTTCCCACTGGGGGCCCAGCCCGCTAATGCTGTCCAGCACCTGGTCCGCCACCGCGCGCACCACCGGGCTCCGGCTCTGCACAGCGGAACAGCAGAACGATCCCGTTCAGGCCTTCATTTAGCGTGCTTGGAATCTGCAAAAGGAGTAAGGAATGGAACGGAACCTGCCCACGCGAAGTTGGACTCCAGATGTGCGTCATGGATTGCGAGGGGCCGGCGCCAAATACTGCGGGCAACCGGTTCACCCGGAATCTTCACGCCGGAGGACTCCAACGAAACGAATGCAAGAGAGCGCGAGTGTTAATCAGAAGGGGATTCGGAGCTTCTCAGCCGTTTGGACGTACAGAGGGGTTGGGTACGCAAACATTTGAAGCAGTCACTCGAAAATCGGAGCCACCGCGGTAGCTCCAGCACAACGCGGCGGCTTCGCACTTGCTGCCAAAGGCACTCATCCGTTGATGCATGCCCCTGTTTTCAGGTGAAACATCTGTGGTGACTTCACATAAGCAACTGCGTCAAAGTGGATGAAGAGGGAAATGGTCGCAAAAGTGGGCATGAGTCCGGCGCACCTGCAGAATGTGCACGAGGCCCGGCACCAGGTTGGGCAGCGCGAGCAGGGCGGCGCGCGCGGCGGGGAGCAGCAGTAGCCGCTGGAACACGTACACTGTCTGCGAAACAGATACGGGGCAGGGGGTCAGGTTTACGATAAGCACAGAGGGGCAGCAGGGTATGGCTGCGCGTTATCCAATGCCAGAAGAGGCAGAACGATAGAATACGCAATCTCCGGCAGGATCAAATGGCTCCCTAAAAGAAGGAAGTGGGCCTTGCAGAACAACGGCATGGACCGAACGAAGGACTCCTGCTGGAGGCCTCTTTCCTTTCATGAATCTGATAAAACGCGGCAACACTGAAAACGGTTGGAAGTACGGCTGCGCGAGTCAAGGTGCGGTGGGCTTTCCAGGATTGAATCATCCCCGGACTGCCATATTTTTCTACGAAAAGATGGTTGTGTTGATGGTTGAAGCGATGTTGAAGATGGTTGAAAATATCTATGTTCCTTCAGCTAGTCGTAAGAAAGATCCCGAAATTCAGAAACGAGAGTATGTTCAGAGAAGCGGCGCGAGACGGCTGACCTGCGCGACCATTTCGAGGTCCTCCTGCTTCTCCTGGAGGACGTGCCACAGCTGGCCCACCTGGCAAAACGGGGGATACGCGTTCAGCAAGGGAATTTGTGATAAGGCGGGAGAACGACAAAGGCTCTGCAGCCAAGCACGCACCGCCGATAAACAGAAGCATGGATTTTCTCGAGGATGTCAGCTTTCAACGCCACCTCTGCCATTGGCTTTTGGATGCACGACAGTGTTGCGCATTGAACGTCCATCGCGTATGAGCACAGACAGCAGGCAGGCGCACGCGCGTCACTCTGTGCGTAAAATATTTTCGTTCGTGCTTCGATTGCGCGGCAAGTGCTCGGCAGCTCACGATTCCGGCGCTGATGATTCCGCTCTCGGTGCCCGCGGAACATAGGGTGCCCACCAGAACGATGGCCTGCAGGAACAGAAAGGAGAGCGCCGTAAGAGGCAGCTTACAGCGCGATCCTTTGAGGTCTCGAACCTTTCTCCTAACTCTTCAGAAGCTGACGTCCAGAGTTTGCTGCCCGCTTCTAGTAAATCTGCGCTCTCGGTCATTGCGAGACATCGTGACGATATAAAAGCCTATTCAACACAGTGTTAGCTACTTCCAAAGTATTTGACAAAACGAGAAGCCGTTGAAGTCTAAGCTCTGGTCAGAGTGGAAGAGAATCAAGTAAAGCCCCGGCCCAACGCGCGCGCTGACCTCGAGCATGACGTCATCCTCGACGTGTCCCGGGTGCAGGAGGTCTGCGAGCGCGGGCAGCAGTCCGTAGTCGGCGGCCAGCTCGTCCAGGCCCAGCCCCGCGCACGTCAGGTTGCCCACCGTGCCCAGCACCTCCACCTGGACACACCGAGAGACGACACGTGGCACTCAGACACTGGATAAGCAACAACAATGTTGGCGGCGCGAGACTGGCTGGCACGAAGCCGACTTGGGGCCAAAAAGGGCTGCCCACGACTCCGAACTTGATCGAACTTCCTCTTCAAGAGTGTTGCTTCGCAGGTGGGTTTCGGGTGCACTCAATTGACGTTTTCGGCGCGTTGGTTCCGTCAGGCGACATCATTCGACCCGTCTTCTGGTCGCAGTTGTCAGCAACGAATCTCAGCACTCTGAAGATTTGGCTAGGGCCCTCGATGAGCTTAATCGGAAGCCTTCAGCCGGAAGTCGCGCAAGAACAAGCCGAGAGATCATGAAGGTTGTAAGCTCACCAGAAGCTCAGTGGACGTGTCCGGTTCGGTCGCTACGTGCACAAGGTCCGGTACGTACCTGGCGAGAAGAGCAATTCGGTCAGAAGCTGAACGCGCTTCCCGCAATTCTTATCCCATGAGGCGATACGTTTACAGCCCTTCTGCTACCTCCTGTGCTTACGGATTATGCTTGTCGTGTAGATAGCGCTTTGTCAGGATAGCAGATCGTTATTTGGAGGCGAGAAGGAACAAAGGATGAGACAAAGGTCCGTCTGCGATCGCTAAAAGGCGCAAGCACAGCGCCCACTTCGCACAGAAGCAGCTAGAACGCCGTAGCTATATCTTCAGTACTTCGGATAGATGTGGGCGGTTAAGCAGATTCTCAGGCCTGGAGGGGATCGGTTTGCTCGCCTGTGGAAGCGCGGCTTGAGCGCCTCGTGGTGGCTGAAGTTGCGCACCACCTTGAAGAGGAGCGCGTCGCGGCCGCGCAGCGCGCGCGACAACAGCTGGTCGAAGCCGCCCTGGTCGCACATCACCTGGGACAACACACGGCTGCTGAGATTCTGTTCCCCAAGACTTTTATTTCTGTGACCGTGGATCCTAGCGACAGTTGCTTATGTTTGCGAACTGGCAGAGTAGCGTGCAGCTGCAACGCGTCTAAGAATAGAGGCACTCCGACGACCGTCGGAAAAAAACACAGCCTCAGTTGAGAGTGCCGCTCTTATGCGGGCCGGCGTCGGCCAGTGCTGCAGATGAGAATGATGAGGAAGGCAAGCGTCAATGGCGTCACTCTCGCAGCGGATGCCGTCCCAGCAGCAGGACACTGGAAAATAGACAAGACGCTTTCGGCAATAGCGGGTCAGAAGCGCGCGCGCGGGCGCGCCCCTCACCTCTGCATTTCTTGGGCTGACGGTCAAATTGATGGCGAGCGCGATGAGCTCCGGAGATGCGCGCGTGTCCGTGCTTTGCAGAAGCATCTGAAAACACAAGAAGCGGCATCGGGTCAAAGAGCGACATTAGCGAGAGTCAGAAAACTTCTAGATAGAACAAAGTGCTCGTAAGCAAGTACTTTCAGCAGCTACCACTCCACAGTTTCCGAGCGTTGTTCCTTTTGTTCACTGAAAACTTCCGCCAGAAGGCGGGTCGGGCAGTCAAAACGCGATCAATTTTTCGTATCCGGAGATACCTTTACGGGCCATTTCAAGTTGGAGTCCGCTCATCTTGTGTTCATTCCCCAGCCAAACAAGCCGTTCATCGGTTGGTCAATTGGAAGGAGTGGCTGGTGCAGCCTCACCTGCTGCACAATGGGGATGGCCTCCGTGTACGTGAACATGGACTTGCTGGCGTCACTCACAGACACGTGGTACAGCAAGCCCAAAACCTGCAAAGAAGGGCGTAGACCATTACACTCGGTGGGAGGAGGGCGATAGAGCACTAGGCAACCAATGCCGGGGACGTGATTTGAAACAAAATCTGGGCGATACCAAATCTACTCGTCAACATGCGAGAACATTTTGAGAACACCGCTGAATGGGAGGCAGCCGTAGAGCAGCGCAATTAGCACGAGCGAGGACTTCTTGCTGCGGCTTACAGCTTCTCCCCATCAACCTGCCAGTTTTAGTGTCATCTAATTTAGACTAATTTCACTCTATAACAGACTGACTAAGTTAGTATGAAATTTCAACTAAAACTAGCACGTTGCTCGGAAGAAGCTGTATAACCTAACCAGTACAAGACCAGAGCGAGCATCCATACAGGTCTTGGGATGTAACTTCGACTTTGAAGAGGATTCGAGAGATCTAGAGACGTTGGGAAGGATTTTGAGTACTCACGAGGTTGACGTGGCGCTGCGACTTCAGGAGACCCACCAGCTTTGGGATCAACCCGCTTTTGGCCTGCATCAGAGGCAGCAGAGGTTTCCAACCAGCACTCCGACTTGAATGAATGCATAGGGGATAAGAACGTGCTGCCCTGCGGTAATGACACGAGGTGACCCGGTGGAAAGCTTTACTTAGAGCCTGGTCAGATCGTTGTCGTTGAGTTTCGCTCGAAAGAAGCCGAAGAGCCGGTTGCAAAAGGTCATAACTGCCTCAGGAGTTTGTGCACTCTGAAACTTACAAATAACTAGACCCACAATGTTCTTCATAGAAGACCAACACAGAAGGTTGGCGGGGGCTTACCATGTCGTCCCGTAACTCGCTGTCGAAGGAAAGGTTAAGTAGCAGCCGCAGCACGCACCCAAGCAAGCCCTGCAGACACCGCAGCCATCCGCAGGTCAACAACGGAAGCCCGTCACCGGAAGCAGCAGCACGACGACGGAACCAGCGGAGTTCAATACCAGGATCGCAACGTAAGCGGTGTCATAGCCCTAGTTAACTATTGAAGGGCAGAGAGGGCTCGAGAGGCTTCCATGAGGTCCAGAGTGCACGTTGCTTGAAGGAATCCAGGTTCGCTGCTTTCCGAAAGAAATCCTCTTGTTGCAAGTGCCTCCTGAAGCAGGCTGCGACTGCATTCAGAATTTGAGTTGACTGCACGACGTCTCAGCCGAAAGAGCTTCTCACACCGCAAAGGGCTTTTCAACCCACACAATCCAGCTCCAGAATAAGGCGGCTGGTAAACCGGTCTGAAACCGTATAGGGGTTGTCTGCGTTCATCTACGCGTCCCGGCCGCGCGCGCACCTCATTTTTGCAGGGCACGAGCGCGGCGAGCTTGTCGGCTATGCCCGCCTCGCGCATGTCGTCCTTGTTCTCGCGGAAGATGCTCAGCTTCTTCAAGAACACCACCGCGCTGCAAGCACCACGCCGCGTCAGCCGCTATCAGCTGTTTGCGTCAAACTTGCGCCGTCGGAGGCCCGCAAGATTGTCGATCACACGATTTGGGCCGTTCGATCGCCTCTGGAAATTAACCGGATGGCCCAAAATAATCTGGGGCATTTCGAGTTCGCGCGAGGTTTCCAAGTTTCACGCAAAGTTGTACGTACTGTTTTGCACAATGTATCCGGACGATGGCACCTCACTCCAATGAGTGCACAAGCGCGCCAGCAGCCAAAGGTCCTCAGGGTCTCAAAGCGAACCAAATCTTTTGTAGAACCTTTTTCGGGGAACGTCCGCTTTCGAGAAAAGCAGGGGCAAAATCCGGCTCACTCAGTCGGGGAGACAAAGGCAATTGCTTACAGTATGAGTAGGTCGACGCTCCGCCTCTCCAGCATCTTCACGAGGTAGCTCTGCATACGAAAAAGGGTACTTAGCTGTGCCCTTACATTGAGTCTTTATTGTTAGCGAGTTCTAGATGTAAAGAGTAGTTTCCAAGCTGCGTGTGCTGATTTAAAGCCCTTCCTCTTAGCTACCGTGTCAATGGTTCTAAACGCACTCTGCGTATCGCTTTGCCACTTCTTTTTTCTTCGCTGGCCAACTCATACACTGGTCCAGATAATCCATTAAAGCCCCGCTACAATCGTCCCGCGAGTAAAGTTTCAATCTTCGACGACAAAGGAGGCGCATTGGAACGCTCAAGTATGACAGTGCATCAGAAAAGTCGGTTAACCAGAGTTGATTGTCACAGGAATTGGCTTTCGGAATCTGCAGAAAGTAGGACCCGAAGCCGAGACGGAGACCCAACTTCCAAGCGCTGCATCACACACTGCATAATTTATTTTCTGGAAAAGCATATCTTGCAATTAAGCAGCGGGATCGCGCTCACGGTGATGTTGCGCTTCTTCATCTTCTTCTCGATGCTGACGTCCTCTGCCAGGTGGAGCAGCAGATAGAAGCACAGGTACAGCAGCTTCTCCTGACGCCGCGACGCGCGCGACGCGGGGCGGTCTCCGGGCGACACCGCGCCCTCCGCCTGCGCATAACACGTGGCACGTTCTCAGAGCTGGTTTCGCACAGAACCTCGATTGAATGCTAGTCCACATTGCTCTCCAAGAGGGTCTCGCAAGGAAAGGAGTGGAGAGGGTGGACCCCGTGGCGAGCGTCGGAAAATTCTGGAAAAAGTCTGGTGAGGGGTGCTTGGTACGTCAAAGACGAGATGTAATCTCATTTCACAGCGGAACTGCACGTTTAGCAAGAGCCAAAGGAAACACGTTTCTGAAAATAGGACGCTCTTGAGTTGCCCTTCGCAGTTTTGAAGATGTGCCTTCAGAATCGGGAGTCTATCAGGTAGAATGCAGTTCTGAACTGTCAAAGGAACTGTCGTCAGAGAACGTATTGAACACCAAAGGCGGCAATGGCCTCCGCGTCTTGAAGAGCACTAGAGCAGAACGGCGAGCCGCGGCGCCACGCTCACCGCTTTTGCATCGATGCGCTGCACCTCTAGGTCGATGATGCCCATCGTCAGAGTGCCAATCTGCTGCTCCACCAACACCTGCGCACAACAGGGGAGCTTATCGACCAATCTCGCGGAGCGTTTGAGAGGGAGGTTTAATTACTGGCAATGGGATTGTTTACTAAGCGTAGTGTTCACTAACATTGGGGATCGCTTGGCACCTACAACGGGAAATCCTAACCCAAAAACCTACGCGCTCCGCAACCCTACCCACCCTAATCGCCAAACTACCCCTCCCCGGCCCCCCGGTGCTTCTCTTGATGGACTCTCTTGAACGGGCAACCCGGCTGTTTTTTGATCTTTCGACGGGCAGTTCTATAATCATTCCCAGGCTAAAGGGGACTGACGACGAGTCGCGTCGCGCTCGATTGCGACGGCGGAGGCGCTCAAGATGAGCTAGCGAAGATTGGAACGAGAGTCTCGTTCCTTTAAAAACTTCTCATTTTTCGGTTTGTGGGGAAATGCTGGCTTGCTTAATTACTCCGTGATTCCTCCATCCCAATTTCGCTGCCATTGGGGACCGCTTCGAAATATTGAGGGGGACGCTTCCTTCTCAAGTGGAAGCCCGAACTCGTACTCTTCACAGATGCTTCTTTCCTCTTATCTTTTCGGAGGGGAGGAAAAACGAGGAGAATCACCCACCTGGTGGAACTGCGAGAAGTTGGAGAAGGCGAAGTAGACCCCCACGATGTTCAGGCTCAGGTCCAGGCTCTTGCGCCCATCCTCACGCAGCACGCGCGCGAGCGCGCCCTGCGCACCGAAGGCAACGGTTGTCACATCGACTGTTCGGACAGAAACGAGGAGGACTAAGGGACGCGGCCTTTCCGCATCGGCACGAGTCGGGACGGGCCTTGGATTTTGTCCGTGTAAACACCCTTGTGTGCTCACGGTTTGATCACACGTCTTGAAAGAGGTGACATTCAATCAAGACAAGCAGGTACGCGAACCCCAAAACGAAACAGATTGACTAGAAGATAAGGCAGGAACCGAATGTTTGCCTGAAGATTCCAACAACCTGAGACTCGAAAGGTCCATAGATTCAAAAAGAAGTAACTGTAAAATCAAGGCACGAAGCGAAAGTTAGATTCAAGAAAATGAGGACCTGACAGCACTGATCGAAAATGGGCGACTCTTACCAGAAGGGTGGTGTGTGTGAGCAGTCCCTCCAGGTTCTCCGTCTGTCGCGCCAGCTGCAGTATAAGCCCCGTTGCGCGCACCTGCAGACGCGGCGGGCGTTCGTTGGTGGCCAACAAACGGCGAAACAAAGCCTCGAAGTAGTAGAAGCGTTCGGCGCCCCACTAAGAACGTCGACGCGTCTTGAAGGAGGCCGGGTGGGCTTGCGACAGGTTCAGCAGCGGAGTATGCTCCGACACAGGGGGTTGTGCGGTGGCGCATATGCTCGCGCGCGTTCTTTTCACCTCGCACTTCGCAAATGGAGCCTCTAATGAACCGACGTTAGCGTCCTCGTCGCACGATGCCGGTCCTGAAGAATGCAAGCAGTGTCTCTCGTAGAACAGTGCCAAATTCTTGCGTAAGCTTGTGTGAGGCAAGGCACCTTTTCGTCGAGGCCCTCGTAGAGCTGCTCCAGGTAGTCCTCCAGATCCTCCAGCCGGGCTGCGCTCCCCGGCCGCGACTCCGGGGACAAGGCCTCCTCCTGCAGCCTGGACAAGAGGACGCACACGTGATGATTCTTCGCTATCGAAATATAAGCTGCATAGACAGTAAGGTCATTCTACCGGACGAAAACAAGCCAAAAACACCCCGCACCGAACCCACTCTAGCCCCCAAAGTAACGGCGCCGTCCCTTGGGCTTGACTTTTTATCGTACGGCTTTGTATTCGAAGTGATTAAGACCTCTGAACAAGTGGGGTCCGTGGCCCCATCACTAGCAGAGATGTCCCTAAATGACACTTCACAATCGTTGTTGCTTTCTGGCTGTAGACGTGGGCTTCGGCGCATGCAAAGACGATCAGGAAGATCGATGCATGTCGAATGGGCGAAATATCGCGTTAGCTACGAATACAATTCTACAGATGTTTTAAACGAAGGGCATCTTTTGACCAAAACCGGAACGGACCACTTCACCCTTTGTCTTGCATGCTCACTTTCTCTGACGTGATTATCAGCCGCAGGTGCAAACTTCTCAAGCCATCCGCAGTACGGCCCCTTCGCTCAATGACACTTCGACTCATTTTCACCGGAAACAGGGAGCAATTGTTGAAGGGGAATACGGACACGAGAAGTGTGCCAGAACAAGCAAGACGTCGTGCTGCTGACCTGTCAACGTCTAAGCGCCGCATGTCGTGGGCGTCGTGCTTGCTCTGGTGGCGGTAGTCCGCCTCTAGTTCCCGCCGTTGCAGCTCGTACAGCAGGCTCTCCACCACCGGGACCTGCAGCAGATCGAGCTCAAGAGATATAGTAAGAAGCTAAGATAAAAATAAAGGTAACCGCTCTGGGACGGATGAATGAAGTCTGGGGGGTAGGGTGGGTAGGGGTGCGGAGCAGGTACCTAAGATCAGGTGTTAGTCGCAGCTGATCATCGTCTTGACTTTTTGACAGCTTCCTTGAGTTTCATTTGCACCAAGGCAAAGTAGACCGTGCCACTTGAAACGAACTGGGATCCTGAGCCGGAGTATGTGAGAATACGCGCTGATTGATGAGCGCGTATCCTTTGCCGAGCCTGATATAGAAGATTCAATCAGAAGATCTTCTCCTGCTGAGAGATTGAATAACTGACCCCCGGTCTTTGAACGTCGAACTCAAGTTTCACAATTTTCCCTTTGAAGTTTTGAGCAGGTACGGTCCTTCAAACAGAAAGATTTTCAAGGCGTTTGAGACGTTCCGGCCGAGACTGGAGGGTACAGACGGCTTACACCTCATCCGTGCAGTCTCAGTTCGTAGCTGCAAGAGATCGATGCAGAAAACGATCCACGTTGCATATTCTTTTACGAACCTCAACTTCCGACACGCTAGTTGACTAGAGAACTAGGTGTATGCCCACCTTTGATTGTGAGAGCAGCTTGCATTTCTCTACGACGTCCTTGGCCAACCGTGGGATGTCGCTGCTCTCGGTCAGTCGCTTCAGTTTAATTCTGTGCACAACAATCGCACCATAATGTGTCAGAAATGTAAGCGCACGCATACTACATCGATGCGGCCACAAATACTGTCTTCAGTACCCAAAAACGGGCAAACTGTATTGAAAAGGAAAGCGAACCGAATTTAACGGGTCTGCAGATCCTGGAGTGGGGACCAGGTCATGAAGGGAAACGGCCTCTGTTCAAAAAGGGACTTAGATTGTAAGGGACTTAATAAGCGGTCACTTGGCTACGAGCTGCCTGCCAGAATCGAGTGATGGAGAGACTGTGGGGGCATGAATGTATGCGTGCCCGTTTCAGCTACAATGAGATTGGGCGGGTGTTTGAGAGGGCGGCCTGCTGCAAATGTGGGCAGGATAGATTGAGTGAGCCCCTGCATTGCACTATGTAGTCCAACACGTGTGGGCTGTAGTCTGTCAAAGCTAATGCGCACACGCCTTTTGGTCAAAAATTGAGAGAGCTCTCCTGTGGTCCTTCAGAGCACTGGGATGGCTTCAATCACATGCATATTGAAATTAACCATTTGTCAAAGCTTAGCTGGTTGAGTAAGTGTATATGATATATTTGGGGCGGATAGGACTTTGGAGACCTGAGCACTTTTAAATCAACGAGAAACCTTTCGAAGCTTGCAGACATGAGAGAGCTCTCAGCTGCGTACTCAAACCTGCAGGGCACAGGGCTTGAGACGGCACTACGCATGCTGGGGGCAATCAAGAATAAAAGTACGAGGGGGCAATACAGGGCAGGCCCGCACCTCTTCTCCTTGGGTTCTAGGGTGGTCTCCAGGGTAACCCCATCGTCCGCATAGAAGGTGCCTTCTACCTGCCAGGGACCAGACCCACGGTTAATGCAGTTCAATTGGCCCTCCCCTTCACCACTTTTGTGGGCAGGTAATGGCACTAAATGGAGGAAAGCAAAGGCAGCTCATTGGCTCAATCACGTCTGGATGTTGCAGCTGTGATAAACACACCACTAACGCTCTTGGTCGTGCTGGTACGAGGGAGTTCAAGGACAGATTTTTCTGCCAGCGTGCATATGACTCATGCACTTGTGAAGGCAGTTGACAACCTCATGTATCCCTGCCTTGAAAAGTGTGGTGATATGATGCTCGTGCCAGCTCACAAAACGTATACGTGGCTTTCTCAGTGCTTTGTTTCTCACCTCATACAGGACAACAATGGCGCCCTCGTCCTCTGCCAGCTCGATGCCCAGGATTCGCACCTTCTTCTTCACATACTCTGGCCCGGGCTGCTCCATGAGGATGTTCTGCAATCGCGAGGGCCAATGCAGCTGCACGATGCGGTCACCTCATGCCACTCTACCTGATGCCTGCCTGGAAGTCTTTCTCACTGCTGATAGATTATAAGGTCCTCAACATTTTTCGCAGCAAAGCTATCCTGACTCTAAAATTGCAGGCTGCGCTGGTGCCCGCTCACTGCATTGATTCTGATCTTTGATGCAAAGGTTTTGAAAACGTCATAAGCACTGAGGGGAGGGGCCCGCTAGCTGAGTGATCACAAGCAATTTTCTTTAATGAGTACTAAGGGCTTTCAGAGGTCATTCAGCTCAAGAAGCAGCTCAACCAGCTCAGAGTCGCTTGCCCTTCAGCATGTCAGCATCTAAGATGCACAGCTCCGCTCTGCTTGCGTTTGCAAGAATAAGGCAGGCTTAGTCGATTCATGATGCTTGTCGCAGCACCCTAATCATCCTTGCCGCAAACCCTAATTTTGGTCAGCCCAAACCCTAAAATCAAGGGGTGAAGCTAGACGTCAGTCCCCCCGCGCAGGAGAAGCGAGCCTGCCATGGCGTCCGCCTTGGGTGGCGTCCTCCTTTTGAGAGCCCAGGTGGAGGAAGACGAGGACCCCCTTCTGCATTGCTTCCCAGACACCGCAGGCGATCTGCAGCGCGCCGCACGGTTGAAAGGCTTGTTTCTCGCTCTTGCAGCACTGACCAAGACGCTCGCCGGGGCAAATGTTCGGATTGCCTCTCTTTCCTCGAAACAAACGTACAACCAGTCCCAAGCGAAGCCTGCCCAGGTGACTGAGGGCGGTATCAAAGCGGCGTATGCGCAGTTAGGAAGGATCGTCATGGTTGTCCTTCTGCCTAGCTTTCTGCTCGATGCCGCAGCTCTAAGCCTAGCTCAGAGTCTCCAGTCCAGCCTTCGCTTCATCCTCGGTCCCACAGCACGCTGGATGGAGCACGACAGCAAATGTTTCACCACAGACGTCACTGCAAAGCTCACACCCCTTCTCCAAAGCTGGTTCGATCGCTTGCACAATCCTGGAGGGGAACATGAATCCCCGCAGCTCATGCTCTCGTTGCCCGGCGCTGTTCCTTTCTTTGAGGTCAGCTCAGAGATTCATGCCAAACTAGTTGAGGCGGTGAGCAAGGCAGAGACAGCGGGGGGCACCCTACATGAGCGGTGCCTGAGGAAAGTTGGCTGGTTGGACTATCGGGAGGCGTGCTTGATCCACCGAGGGCTGGTTGTTTACACTGACATGGCCCCTGAGGACACGGCGAGCTGTTCGGAGCTTTGCCAACGGGAAGGCTTGCTGTGTCGGAGTAAAGGTGAGGACCTAAGGACTTGATAGAACAAGTAACATGACTCGGTGCTGAACTACATTTGAACAATGGGGAATGTGGTTCGGGCATGTCTCGTGTCTGCATATAGATACTGAATCTCCGCTGCATGAGATGAAAAGTTTTGACATGAGACCACTGTGCGGGCGTTACGTTTACCCCCATATCTGCCTCCTAACTCAAAATTCAGTGGGGACTAGCCTGTGGACTCTACTCCGCCTGGCCAACAGCTCAGCTTAGTCTTCAAACAAACCCAGCATATTCTGATTCATACTGGATCCACTTCGAGTGGGAGTACTCAAAGCTCAACAATCAGCTTGCAAAGGGCCACCAGTTTCAGGTTCGACGTTGGCCCTTTGATTCCACAACGTGGCAATACTTCTCCGCAGGTCAAGGGCAGCATATTTCATTCCACGACGTGTATGTGGGACCTGACGAAGACGCTCTTTCGACCAGAAGCTTTGGGGAAGGTGCTGACACGTTAGGAAAAGGGAACGCGATGGGGAAGCGAGCGTTGCTGGTGGTAGGCTTGGAGCCCAGTCTGCTGTGTCTGCTACTGCAGCCAGAGTCGAGTAGTGTGCGCGCAGAGCAGTGAGTTGCTTATTACCAATTCAAGCGTCCCCTTGTATCTAAAGCAATCCACGATGTTTCGAGTCTAGGGCCGTGGCCCATCCCAAAGAGAGGGATTACCCATACACGGGATGTAGGTGCCTTGGGGCAGCGTGCTTCTAGGTACTGCCCTTGTTTTCCAAAGTCTTCACAACTTCGATTTCTTGTTCCTGGGCCCGCAACCGTCCCTTCCCCACCCGACCACTCAACCTCGATCTCCGCAAAAGTTGAAGCAAACCAACAGCGCTGCTTGTAACCAAACCCTCAGGAGTTTTGTTAGAGCTGTCTGCGGAGATTGGGAAGGAAGCGTGTGTCAAGCCCATGTCCGAGCTTAAAAACCTAACATAATGACAGTTTTCTCCCCCTCAGGTTAGCTGAATCTCCCGAGCTGGACGCTGCAGTGAGCCAGTTGCTGGCTCTCTCTCAGGTTCGTTCACTTCAAGCAATCTCCAAGCTCCTTCGCTTTCTTGTTCAAACTCCGACATGCTGAATTATTTGCATGTCAGGGATCCTTGTTACTAGGATCTTACCAGTATCATGAGGTTCCCAAGCCGTAGAAAAACCTGGCGAGAGGAAGCCTCGCAGAATCTGCTTCCTGTAGATGTCTTTGTGCACGTACTCACTTTTAGAGTCGTCTTGGGTGGCATCGAACGAGCTTACTCAAAGCTCTAGCCTCTCAATGCCGGTTCCTGTACAAAGCATGTACATCTCTTCTCCTATTGAGTGGTATGCCATGTTTCTACTTCAAATCCACGCGATTCTGATCAAAGCCAGTTCATGGGTACCCATGGGTACGCAGATTCCTCTTACACTTGATGCGACAGCTAAGTCGTTCTTCCTGTTCGCAGAGTGGCACTCTTGATCACTTGGATGACGTGTTGGACGACATGCGCAATGGCAACGGGCCCAGTAACACGGGTGCGGAAAGGTACGCTATCGATCTCCTCATTCCTTGCCTTTTCTTAAATTCACAAAGGATTCGAGTCCGCTCATGGTTCTTCCCCAAGGGAAGAATCGAGCCTCTGGTCTTAGTTCCTCATTTGGAACCACAAGCGTCCGCCGTCAAGCTCTGCCAAATGGTCTCATTTTCAAGCAAAAGCGGCGAATGTCGTTTGACAACGTGTGGGTGCTTGCAGCGGAACGGAACGATTGAGCTACATTCCGCAAACTGGCTTCCTTACTAGAAGAGGCTCGGGCCAGCGGCGCTTTCAGACCTTTGCAGCGGCCCTCCGTCAGAGGCTGCTTCTGACACAGGCAAGTCGCACGAGCTGGAAAATCTGCGAAGGATGCAATCGGACGGGTGTCGAAACTTGTAGCACTCTGCGTGGTTTGTCGAGTTGCAGGTCTGCTTAGAAGGACGCCCGCCTGATCAGGCTGCCGACTTAAATGTGTATTCTGGCCGCTTTACGTGTTTTCTTTTCCACGGAGTGAAGACTGCTCAGAATTCGACGAAGGTTTCATAATCGGAACCGTCGTTGGGAATTTTACACTTGCACTTTGGCACGCGAGCAGGAAAAGCAGCAGAGTAACGTGCAATTCTTGCTGGAGCCCTTCACTCGTTTGCATCTCCCTCCGTATCCTCACAACACATCGAAGTCAAATCCAGAACAGTGGACGCCAGGAAAAGTCTCTCGGTTCTGATGATTCTCAAGTCATGACTTCGGTGTTCGTTTTGCGTGCAGCTTGCCGGTGTGTCTCCTGTCGACAAGCCTCATGGCCAACTCGAGAAGCTGCCGCCTGCAATCGGTGTCGTCACTCGCCAGGTGGAAGCCGAGTTGAGCGCGCGCTTCGAAAAAGCCACCGTACTGGCGCCTTCAAAGAAAGCAAAGCGACCGGTAGCGGAGAAGCGGGATTTGTACTGGATCACGGGGTGAGCCTTTCTCCATTGCGCGTCTTATCTGGTGGTCACGCTTTTCCTTGTAAACCGTCACCACCCGGAGACCTCACGAAAGGCCCGCCGCGCAAGCGACTGCATAGTTTCCTAGACCTAGTTGCTCGACCCAATTCAGAGTTTGTCGAGAGCACAAATTTGGCCCGTTTGGGCGGCACTTCACAACCAGAGAGTTGCGCCGTCCCGTAAGCCCCACAAATGAAACTTGGAGAAAGGTCTCGGACTTCGCCTAAGGTGCAGCGCACATATGGAAGCGGGCTGGCTCGAACGCCATTTTAGTGACCGCAGAACCTTCGCACGCTCTTCAAGAACCCCTTGCGCTCCGGAAAAATTGTAGACTTTTTGCGTCCATTGCCTCCGATCGTCGAGTCGACCAATCCGCGGCAAGACGGTTGCGATTTTTGAGTTGGTGTGTCGGTCGTACCCAGCTAGGGCTTGCGAGCGGATTATGGGAGCTTGATTCGTTCAAGCTGATTCGAATCTGGTGAAGAGCAACTGTCTTGCACACGTAGCATCAGGAAAAGACCCAATAGATTGATGGCTGGAAAAGCTGACGCAACTTGACAACGTCAAAACGCGCTAAGAAATATGGGGGGAACCCAAGTTATTGTTGAGCTCAAATTAGCTGTTGTCCTGGCGATATCTCTCGGCTTATCATACGCGCCGTTCCTCCAGGCGCATCGACGGCGATGGTCGGCAGTTGTTCGTCTCGCGGAACGGCGACCCTCTCCGACCAGCAGTCGAGGAGCTCTTCCAGAGCTGACGGGGCTTATGCCTACAACCACCAACATCCGCTGGCAGGCCGCCCTTCATTTCCGGTCGCATTATTGCTAATTTCTCAAATTCATATGGCTGCGGATGAGAGCACTTGTCCACGAAAGAAGGCTCAACCGCGGGTTCAGGCAACTTTTTCAAGGATCCCACACGCTGCAAGGCAGCGCGACTGATGATTGCTTTCGTCTCCTACTTACGTTGTTTTGAATCTGACACTATCTTACGTGCAGTGATGTGTGGAAGGAAGGACGAGCATTTGCTGCAAAGCGGGTGGTTGCGGTTGCTATTGCCCCGTAAACTTTTGCACGTCAACGGGCTCAGATAGGTCTGTCGTAGTTCGGGATCTGGAAAGGCGCTCACGTGGCGAATCGTGCTTTGCGCTGCCAACTTGCGCGGCAACAAGATCGTTGATCCATGATTGTTGAGTAGAATCAGGGGCTGCCATTTCGAAGTTTGACGATCAATAAGAAGTCAGGGATTGAATAATGCATGGGGCTTGCCGGCCATGCATGCGATTCAAGTTACATGAGCTTGAGTCCGAGTCACTCGTACCCTCTTCGGAACGAGTCGCTAAGCTCGTGCCAGCCTGGCCGCGGTGCCCCGGTGCTCATGGCCGCCATTTACATATGTGTTCGGCCAGGCCATGCTGGCTTGAACCTCCTTCAACCGTTTGGTCAAATAAAATCTAGTACGGATCATTCAATGCCCTTCTACACATGTGAAATCGCGAAGGCGCACTAAATGGATTGCATGAAGACATTCGGTCCAGTGACGGAGGCACTGCGCGCGTGTGGTCCTCAAGTTCGATTGAAGCTCTTCAGAATTGGAGCCCGCATGCAACAACGCATTGAACAAGGTCCGACACAATTGCTGAGTCCGGGCCGAACCGGGGCAACGATTTGACCCCCGGCCCAGAATTAGAGAACTGCCCGGCCACGTTATTAACTTAAGACACCGTCGAACCTAGTATGTTCCATTTGCAGGCCGTATATGCAACCTTTGACTGATGCAGCTATGGTCCATCGGTTGAATGTCCCAGTCCGGCCCGGCAATTACCCCGTCCTAAACTAAAAACCCTACGACCGTACAGCTTCATTGAACCTCCTCACAAGTACTGCACCAATACACACAATATTGACCACACCACCATTTGTAAAACCAATGGTTTCTCATCTGGTTGCGCTAAACGTCGCAGCGCACCTGCGCATCATTGAGTTACCGACTAGCTTTGGTTAGCCCTCCACCTTTCAGCGGGATACGAATCAGGACTCTAACTACCGTCACGTAGTCCTACAAGCAAACTTTCATCTGACCAAAGACACACCACACACCCAAAGTCCAAGCATCACACTCAGGGTAATTACCAGAATGAAGAATGGAAGCAGACTGTGCTCCGACCTGGAGACTCTAGCCCATCGAATCCTGATCTCGGCCGCAGCTAGGATGATCGGAATCGACGTCGAAATACTGTACAACGCGCTGAGCCCAGGCGTATATCTTCTAAGCTGAAATGTCACCAAGACAACACGTGTCAAGTCTAAAATGAGGTGCGTGACAGCCGCGCCACGTCATCCTCGGCCATCATCTCATCCGTGACGCTTTTTACCGTTTTCTGGTACCCCGCGGGCGACGGAAACACGTCAAAGCTGCTGCCGCCCCCCAAGGGCGTCTCGCACATCGATGGGAACGCAAACGACGGCCCCGGGGTGAAGGGGTTAGGGAACCCGGGCGTGCGGCACGAGTCGCGCGCTTTGGGCGTGCTCGCGCGCAGAAAGCTGGGGAACGTCCCCGAGGAAGGGGTCCACGCCGGCGTGTCCGACCCCGGGGGGTTCAACCGGGCGGTCGACGGCCCCCCCTCCAGAGAGGAGTTGGTGTCCAGCGAGGCAGCCCAGTGGACCCCCCCGCCCGCGTCCAGCCTCAGCTTGTCGATGAACGCTTTCCGCTGGAACATCTTGTCGTCTTCGAGGGAGTACGACGTGGACGGCTCCGGACCGCCCGATCCGTCGTCGATGATCTCGTCGGGCATCGCCGGCAGTTCTTCTTGCTTGGGGGGGACGAAGTGCTGCTCCCCCCCGGGGAGTTCTACCGACTCGTCTGGGGGGACGACCATCAACTGATCTTCCGGCGAGGGGGATAGCAGCGTGTGCTCTTGGCTAGTGGTGGGGGCGCAAAACATGGCTTCTTCTATGGGGGACCAACCGACGCTCTTGGAGTCGTTCACTCCGTCAGAGGACACTGCCCGGGTGCTGTTACTGAGTCGGCTGCGGCAGGATTGTGCAGACGGGGGGCGGGGCCCGGAGGGGCACGTAGTGCTGGAAGCGGCAGGGGGGGCAAGACAGGCGGGGCCTGGCAGAGGGGGTAGAATGAAGAAGGATGAGCTCGGACTCTCTGGTAGACTCTCGAAAAGTTTTACAGACAGGTCCGGTGGCACTTGGGCACTCATCTAAGGGGTTCACGAAGCTTGCTCATTGGAAGGATATTCCAGGTCGGAGTTGAGAGTTCCCAAGAAACTTCGTTTCAAAGGGGTAGCTTCAGCTCTGAAGCTACCCTCTGCCTTACCAATTGTCACTGCCTTGACTTCAATTGGCTGAAAGGTCACGCCATTCGACATCCTCTGGACGTGTCTCATCTGAGCCTATTCTATGACGGGTCAGAACGAGAACATTCAGCTCTCGACCACCGGCAACCTGGGTTCCGAATCTGCTAGCGACTCAGCCCCATCAGTGATCCATTCAGATACTTGAATCTTGATACAATAGAGGCTCCATCCAGCAGACTTTTTTGGCGCAACATTAAGCCAGTCCGCCCGCAAAAGACATAACCTGGTATCAAATTGGCTCTTGGATTTTGCCCCGAACTTAGGAGCTGTCCTGGTGTTTGCAAACTGCTTTCTGCGTATACCCTCCATGCCATGGTAGCGCAAACCTCCAAGAGCATCTCGTGCTTTCATTGTGCAATCTCTTGGCCACCCGCTCACCTTCTGGAATGTAGACATAAGCCCCCGCGTCCGGCGGCAGCGACGCCGCCCTCCTCACATTGCTGTGCGGCCCAATCATCCTGCGCGCCCCCCGGCCCACTCTCCCCCCCCACTCCTCAACGCTGACTAGCGGGGGCATGCCGTTATCCCCCTCAGAATACGCGGGACGGGCCGCCTGCGGCCACCGGTACAGCTGTTGCGGCTGCATATCCAGACCGTGCAGCTCGGCGTCCCGCTTTCGCTTCTTGATGCGCGTGTTCCACAGGTTTTTGATCTCGTTGTCGGTGCGCCCGGGCATCTGGGCCGCAATGGCCGCCCACTTGTTGCCGAGCTGGGCCTGGGGGGTAGGAAAAGCAGGGAGTTTTAGGGGGGTGTTTGAGAGACATGGCTGTGATGGCTGTCAGGTATGCTAGTTGATGAAATGCTGCTGTGTAGCTTGAAAGTCTGGTCTACTTTGCAAAGCAGCATAAAACCTGGTCTACTTTGCACTACTTAAGAAATGTGACTTGAGCTATGCTGGTTTGGCGTACTAGAGTTTTTAGACCTTTGCTGGGCAGTGGTGCTTCAAAGCTTTGTTTCAAAGACCGAAAATCTGGTCCTTGAAGTCCAGCCAATGTTTCTTAGGTTCAATCATAGAGCCCTTCGTCTGGCAAAGATTTTGGGCTGGCTAAAGTCCAAAAGGACACTCCGTGCTTTGTTCACAAGAAAGGTTCCACCTTTCATGGGCTTCAAACAAGCAAATAGGAGCTAATGCGGAGGATTGCATCCGCAAAAGTAACTTCTCATGAACGACAATTGACCCAAGCCGTTTGCATGATTTTGCAGCTTTGACACAACTCTACATTTTCAAACATCATTATGCACTGGTGCCACTAGCACAGGGCCTAACTGACAGTCTCGGGCACTGCAATCCAAACACAGACGCTGCCCTACCTGCAAATGAATCACCATCTGCTCCTCGTCGTCAGAGAAAGCTTCCTTCTTCAGGTTGGGCCGTAAGTGGTTGACATACCTGGAACCAGAATAGAACTGAGCAATCAGACTCAGACTTATCCTAAGAAGTCCATAACTCAGGACAGCCAAAAAGTCTGGTACAGGCAAATCAGAAGGCCCCAGCTCTGCAGTCCAGCAGAGTGCCATATAATAGGCGACTCTGCAATGATGCAGCAAACATTGTCACGTCTCAGGACTTCCAGTTGACCTCAAATTGCCAATCATGCATGAGGTTTTAGTAAGAAGCAGGAGCGAGAGCTGACCTCAGGCGGCAGCTCTTGCCACACCGATTCACAAGGCCCGTCTTCATGGGTACGCTGCCTGCAGGTAACATGCCAGGGCTAGCTCAGAATACTGACACCTGGCATCCATTGCATCCCCAATTGCATCACTGTCCCGACAATCTTCTTGGAGCCTGACTTACAATGAAAACCTGCTGAGCTAGAGGAAATCCCTTTAGGAGCTCTGCTTGGGAAGCTGCTGTAGCTCCTGTTTTCCCCAGCATAACCGGAAAAGCTCATTCCAAGAGTCACACTAGCACTTGCAAACCAGTGTCAGTGCAGGAGTCTCACTCCAGTCTTTGGGCCCAAAGCGCTGCACATAGTCTGCCAGCATCGCATCCTCCTCCTTGGTCCAGGGCCCTCGTTTCAACCCGTCTGGCCCGATGGTGCTGCCCCCCAGACCGACCTCCTCATCCGCCCCTGAGCTCGATTGCTGGCTTTGTTCGCGCGTCTGGTAACTCCGCGTATGTACTTGCCCCGGCCGGTGGTGACCTCCAACTAAACCCCCATGACTAGCTACATTGTGCATCCCCCTGGCCTGCACCTGGGCAAGCATTGGAGCTGAGAGTTTGACTTGCCCCCCGGGGTACAGTCGGCCTGCCAGCTGTCCGGCAGCTGGCAGCGAGATGGGGTTGCAGATGGTGGGATCCAGCTGGTACAGCTGAGAGGCCTGAGCTTTAGCGACGACGCGCTGCTCCTGGAAGAACGCGGCAGGGTCCAGTACCGTGTTTGGGCTGCCGCACTGAGCAACGGGGGGCTTTGCTTCCTCCATCTTCGAAAGCAGTCAGGAGCAAAAGCGCAAACCAGCTGCTGAGCTGCAGACAAACCTTTGTGAGCTGCAGCAAGAAGAGGCTGGGAAGCTCCTGCGATGCATTGACAGGAGCCCTGCGCGCCACCTAAGGACCAACAAATATCAAGGGAAACGAATCCAAACGACCGTGTTCAAGAGGGTGAGGTGGGAGAGCTGAACGTGCTCAGTCAATCGCGTCAACTCTGCTGCCTGCCCAATCTGCACCCTGCTTTCCTGGACTGCGCACCAATGGACAGGGAGGATGTCTCCATGCCCGAAGATTTTGACCTGACATCGACTCATGTAGGCACACTGACACAGGTGAAAGGCACATGGATTCGAGATTCCTAAGGGGAAGGTCACTTTGAAGTGGTACCCCCCCTAATTATTTGTAGAGGGTTTTTGCCGGGAGCGCTGGGTCCCCCCCCCATACCCACGGCCCAAGTGGAATCGTAGCGTCGGGCCCCCCTCCCATATAAATTTTTCCGGATCAAGGCCCTGGGTACCCCCCCCATATCTGTATTTGGGAGAAGCCAAAATTGGATAGAGAAGTCGCTTATGCGGGCATATGAAACCTTTTTCTTTGCTAATCTGCGTTCAAGATTTTCGTATGGGGCATTTTGCAAGAAGTTTTTGACGAATATTAGTTCATATACGCCATTTGGAGCTTGATTTAGCCTCAGAATCACATGAAAATGGGGACCGGGATCCATGTTCCCCCCCCTTGAGCTACCTAAAAGGCCAAGCTCGTTAGGTGCCCCCCCATCAAGCACTCCCGTGAGCAAAGTGTGGGTGTGTCCCCCCCCCATAGGGACCTCGAGCCGCGCTCAGAGCCCTAGGCCCCCCCCCCTCACAAAAAATTAGGGGGGGTACCACTTCAAAATGACCTTCCCCTAATACTAATAGCAACTTGGTGACTGTAGCCTGACTGTAGCCTCTGGTTGAGTGCACACTGCACAGTGCAGGAGATCACTCGGAAAGTGCACACAGATTTGAGTTCACGTGGTCTAGGAAAGTACCCGGCCCGGTTGGTCCAGCCTCACAGCGCACACGTTCCAGCGGAGTCCGGACCCCGGGCACGCGGTACGACCAGTGGCTGCGCCGGGTTGGAGCGGATCGCGATCTCTGCGTAATCAGACCACGGCTGCAGTGGATCCGGTCGGTGACTCGTTCCGCTGCTTCAGAATCCAGATCACGACCTTCGCCGGACTTTTTGGGAACCGGGCCGGGGCCCGGGGCTCAGACTCTGGGTAGGTGCAACCTGACAAAGAAACCGCGCGGCGTGGACTAGGTAGATACCGTACCAACACGCCGGTTGGGCAGATTTTTGGGCAATAATTAATTTCGATTGATAATGGACGTTTGAAAATTTGGGCAACTCGTTTTGGAATTTTTGAAAAATTTGGGCAACTCTGCATTTATTGCGAAATCCCTTCTTTTACCACTCAAATCTCATCAAAAAAGACAAATTGGAATTTTGAACCATTTGAAACATTGGGCAGAGTGGGTCGGAATATATCAAAATATTGGGCAAATTGCCATAATTATTAATTTCTGCCCAACCGGCGTGTTGGTACGGTAGTACCGGTTCGTGTACCTATCGTCGGTGGACGACCGCATTGTGCAGTGCCAAATGCTGAGTGTACCGTACACCAAGTGCTGTCCGTGCAGTGACAATCGCATCCAACACGCGGCGATTCAGTTTCCCAGCTCGGACTCAGCGCCGCAGCGGAAGCCTGATTGAATCTGCTCCGCTGACAAACCTTGCCGGCCTGTTTTGTAACTGTCGAGAGAACTGCACTTCCGAGCCGTCCGATTAGTCTCCCATATGATGGGGCGCGTATTCTCAAAGTGCCGCGTGCACTTTGTAACCACCCTGCTGACTGGCTCCAGGACCCTTGGAGCAATGATGACTGATTAGAAGCTTCGGAAAACGCCTGCTGTACGGGGGGATTATCATCGTACCTGGTGATAATTGCGGATCCGGATTCCGGATTCAAGGTCGAGCCTCGAGGTCGGGGTTCTGGTCAGGGTTTCCCACGGACTTTTGTCCCGGCCGGCCAGCTGCGGGCACGCCCCCGGTTCTGCCGGCTGGACAGTCGGTGAATGGCTGCTCCGGTCGGCCGAGCCCAGCAAGTGCCTGCATTTTCTGCTGGCTGAGCAGCCGACGAGGCCCGGGTGCCTTCAGCATCGGCCGGGGGTCCCTGACTCCCATCGGACGCCAAGCAAGGACTGAAGGACAGGCCCCAGGGTTGCTCCTCTCAGGAGCGCCCGGGGCACGCACATGTGGGTACTACGGTAAGTACGTACCGTACCGGTACGTTGGAGATTGGAATGATTACCCGCTACACCGAGCGGCGAGAAGTCGTCCTACCGGCTTTCTAGCCGAAGGTCCGGGGGCGGGGGACCCCTGGCCCCTGGGGCCTGGGCCCTTATACCTAAGTTGTGGGGTTTTAGGGTTGTGGCCGACCGCCGACCAGTCTTTCAGACTCCAGAGTCCTTCGAACGAAACGTACCGTAGGTACACGACTCGTCCCCTGCACTGTGCACTGTGCAGGTGCTGGACCCTGGTCTTCTGCTCCAAACGCTAGGGAAACGGAATTTCGAAAGTGATGCCATGCGAGAACATGCTTGGCAGTACCGGTCTCACATTAGGTAGCGTACCGCGGTCCGGTCCGCTGTTCCTCCGGTCACTTGGGCCGATAGGTAATTCAATCCCAATGGCAAGAGATACCCAAACGAGCATAGGTAGTTTGCCCAATACCGGTACCGGTATTATGCTAAGACCACAATGAGATTCAAATAAGTTTACTTTAAGGTTTCTGGGGGCCAATACGAGGCGTGTGCTAGTCCCGGTGCTCCAGCTGATGAGCCCGGCGTGCAAGACGGTACACAACAAATCTGGGGGCCAATACGGCACAGGCCCAAAACATGCAAAGATACCAGTAAGCTGGCGGCGTTTATTCAAAACATTTAAAAATGGATTAGGAGTTGCACGAAACGCGTGATGGACAAAAGGCATAAAAACTCCCAACGTACGAGCAGTACGCGGTATCATCATGCAGGATCATAAGTCGTACTTTCATACTTCATGTGTCTATGCGCGCTGCGCAGGTCTTGAGGACTCTTGACTCTATTCGAACGCGCGATTGTCTACGACACACAAGCAAGAAAGCAATGATGCATGGATCACATGGGGCCCAGCCTCCCTTGCAGCCTCCAGGCAAGTACGGTATGCCGGCGCGTCGTTCACTTACCTCAGGTTGATACCGGTGCAATGGTGCATGCAATGTCAGCAAAGGTCCCCAAAGGTCAATTTGTAGGACTCGGCTTAATGACCGGCTGACGTGTTAAGTGTTATTTCACAAAACGAGTGAAGGTGCGCGGAAACCTCGCATGTATGACTCACGCGGCACACTTGCTCGTTTGATCGGAGCATCCTTGGCACTCTCTCGCGCTACATTGGAGTCTGAAATCGCAAATGGCTAGAGAAAGCACGAGTAAAATAGCTATGGGACTATCCTGGGACTATGCATGCTGATCACCATCTTGGCTGACTTGTGCCGTTGTCATGTTTCAGCGCCGAATCCTTGAATGCCGCCAACGTGATATTACCGTGACGCTCCTTCAGTCTCGAAGCTAGGGATGCAGTGTCAATCGTTGGCCCTGTGACGCATGTGGATTCAATCCTGAACCGCCATGACGATCTGATTCATCAATGATGGCCCGGTGCAGCATCTCAGCGTAGCATGTTAAAGTACAGAATCGAACTTGAACACCTTCTTCCTGAGGTCCAAACTTAACCGACTTGCCGAAAGCTTGGCGACACATGCCGTGTAACAGCGGGGCTCGACAGGTTACTTCGTTACATCGGAAAGAACTTACCTACGTAGGATAGGCAGAAGATGGCCTCTAGTGCTTGTGAAAACCGTGGCTACCTTGAGTCCGCCAGGAATAGCTTGCCGCGTGGGGTTTAGTCAAATGCACTACTGTGGGAACTCATGCATTACATAAGAGCGAGCTGAGCCTCCCTCTCGCACTCCGCTTATTGAAGAGACATTCACGTGACTGGCTGTCATTGATCTCAAGATTTCTTCTTCAATTGCGCCGTTCTAACTCACCGTCTCTACCATGGCCGCAAATCGGCTCCCCTCTCTGGCCAGTAACACCTCCGGACTGTCCATCTCCACAATCCGCCCCTGGTCCAACACAATTACCCGGTCACACTGCAGTACCGTGCTCAGCTTATGCGCAATGTACAAAACCGTCCCGGGATAAAATCCACCGACCGGGGCGCCCTCCGGCGCCCGGGGGGTTCCCCGGCCACTCTCCTCTCCCCCCAGGTTCGCCAGCGCCTGCCCACTCGGCGGCCGGGAGAGCTGCCCCGAGCTCCCAGAGGCGCCGCGGCTGAGCGATCGGGGCATCCCCGGGCGCCACAGAAGCGCCCGGTAGATGGCGCGCTCCGACTCCGCGTCCAGCGCGCTGCTCGCCTCGTCGAGAACGGTCACTTTCGCGGACTGGAGCAGGGCACGTGCCACGCACAGCAGCTGCCGTTCCCCGAGCGACAACGCCCCGCCCACCTGTTCCTCCAGCTTCTTCTCTTTCCCGGCGACCGTCTCTTTCAGCGCGACCGCCTCGAGCGCGTCCCAAATCTCGCGGTCGGTGCGCGTTCCCCGCGGGTCCAGGTTGCTGCGCAGGCTCCCGGAGAAGAGCACCGGTTCCTGGGGCACCACCGCGAGCCCGCGCCGCAACCGCCCCAGCGGCATGCCCCCGATGTCAACGCCATCGATCAAGATTCTCCCCTGGTCTAGTTCTACCAGCCGGAACAGTGCCGACACCAAGCTACTCTTCCCGGCCCCGGTTCTACCAACAACCGCGATCCGTTCACCAGGCGACGCGGCAAATGTCACCCCCCGTAGGGCGGCTTTCCCGCCTTGCGCCGCAGACTTCTCTCCGTCCCCGTCTTTCATTCCCCCGGGCGGTTTCTGCCCCCCGGTTGCTTTCACCACCCCCCGCGAGCGCGCCTCGTACACCAGCCACACGTCCTCAAACTCCAATCGGCCGTGCTCGGGCCACGTGGCAGGACTCTGAGCGCCCAGTACAACCGGACGTGTGCCCGGTACACCGTTTACCGGGGACTGACGTTGGGCCGGTAGATGGATCCCCCGGCGGCCGTCCCAGGCTTCGGAGGGGAGGGCGGTGTAGTCGAGCACGCGTTCCACGGCGACCATGGCGACTTCGAGCTCGGTCCATTGGCGCACGCTCCACATGAGCAGCTCAGCAAACTCGGCGGCGTACGTAATGCTAAGGGCGGCCATCTGGGGACGCCACAAACGGAAACGGTTGGCACGCAGAGTAGTAAACAGGCGAGGTGGGCGCTTATCGGAAGCTGGATTTAACAACTAATTCAGCCAGAAGGCACCTTTTAGAAGCAAAAGAGAACAGAGTCGAGGATACAAAGAGCGTCGAACTTCGATGGAAATCGGAGCAACAAATCCGGCCGTGTGTCGTTCAAACAGGCGGAGGACAAGCCTTCGCCTCCAGATTTCTTAGCCAATCACGTACAAACAGCAAGGATGCTGCTTCGAACCAGAACCGTAATCCGAGCAAAGGAACTTCGCGCACGCCAGGAGATAAGCCGAGCCGATGTTTGTCGGCACCCACAAAAGGAAGAAAAACTCAGGAGTGAACAAACAGCTACAGACAGCTCTGACTCTGTCGTCTTACCTCAGGTCGCAGGTTCCCGCGCTCCGTCTCGACGATCGCGAGGAAACTCGCCCCCAGCATGACCGCCGCCCCCATGACGTCCATCCAGAACGTCACGAACTGGTTCGCCGCCCACGCGCTGAACATCGCCGCCAAGAACCCCGCGACGCGCGCCTTCCCGTCCGCGATAAACCTCGAAACCTCGCCGAACGCGCGCACCGCGGGCGCGCCCTCCATGCTCTCCGCAAAGTGCGCGTACACCGGCGATTGGCGGAGCGACTGGATGCGCTTCAGGTCGCGCGCCGCGTGGCGGTAGAGTTGCGCAATGGCCGCGAAGCCGAGCGAGATGAAGAGGAGGAGCAGCAGGAAGACGGGCGTGCTGAAGGAAACGACGAAGATCGCGCCCACTAATTGGAGGGCCACCTCGATGAACCCGGACAGCTCCTCCGGAACAGCGTCGTCCATCTGCGAGAGAAAGAAGGAGGGTACATTTGGGGCACAGCGTTTTAGCTTTCGTTTACTTAGTCTCAACTTTATTGTTGGGTCCATCTCGGCATTGGCAGAATTCGTGGAAAGAACATCAGAGAGGGGAGGGGCAGACTTTCAAAAGAAACAAGGCGTCGCCCACTCTATCCAGCCGGAGTTCGCTATCCATGTGGACAAATCCTCATGGACGCGTAAAACCTTGAATATACACGTGAGAGCTGTGAAGGGGCAGCGCACGTAGCAAGCGTCAGCAGGGCAAGGGACCAAGTTCTCTTCCGCTCCAAATACCAAGTACCATGGTCGGAGAACCGCCCAGCAAGTAGAGTTTCCCGGAAGAATTCGGAATTCAGTTCACCAAGGCAGGGAGCTGGCAAATGCTTGCAAGGCTGTAAGGCTCCTCAAAGGTGCTCAAGCTATCAGTTTCTGTGCGGAACTGAGAACCAAGGATGCAATGAAGCTGGGCCCGAAAATCGCACCTGCCCGGTGTCGGACGCGAAGCGGTTGATGATGGTCCCCGCGGACGTCCGGTGGAAGAGCGCCATGGGCGCGCGCAGCACGGCGCGCAGCATCGCCGCGTGCAGCTCCCGCGCCGCGAAATAGCAGCCAAAGTCCGCCAACAGCGACCGCAGAGCCGCGAAAACCGACAACGCGCCAACGATCCCCGCGTAGACCTGAATGTAGAACAGCTGCGAGTGGGGCGCGGTACCGGGTTCCGGCTCGGCCCCCCCGGTCCATACCGCCAGCCAGAGCGTTCGCCCGATTCCCGCGGCGATGCGCGCGGCGAAGATGAGAATTGCGGGAGCGACGATCTTCCACCCCCCCGCGGCGCGGAAGAACGCAGCGAAGACGGAAAAAGAGACGGCCCCCTCGCGCTTTGTTTCTTGCCCAGGTGGAGCTGTTTTGGGCCCAGAGGGGCGTTTCTTTAGAACCGGGGGACGGCTGATCGGGGGGCGTTTTCCGGTCTCCGGGGGGGAAGGTCTGGGGGGCGGTTTTGAGGGCCCAGCGCCGCCGCCTGTTCCCAGGAGGGGCGTGCGCAAATCGACCTGCGGAGAATCACCGCGAGTGTCACATAGAAGGTGAGTGTCAAAGTAGAACCGACTATTGGGCCTGCCGATTCAGCGGAGGTTGAAAGGATGTCCCCACATCAAAACGCAAATCTCAAGAGGGCAAGGCAAAGTAAGTTTTTGGAGTTGAAAGACACACGAGTGTCGCGCATCAATCCTGACGGGGGCGTTTCGTGGACAGATTCAGGCGACCCAATAACGTCGCAAGCAGACACTTTCCCCCAATGATGTCCACTCGTCTCAAACCAGACAGCTTTTTTATCTCTCAAGCAGATACTTAATACAAACAGCGATATCGAGGTCCACTCGTTAAAAACCACACAGCTTTGCAACCTCACAAGCAAAAACTAAACTAAAGAGCCAGTCTGCTCGACTTCCAAGCAACCCACTCACTTGGGCTTTGTCCTCCCTGATCGCCTCTCTCTCCGCTTCTCTGGCCGCCTCTTCCCGGCTGGCCCGCCCCGCCAACAGCGCCGCCGTTCGCGGCGACACGCACAGCTCGCTGCTGGATTGCCGCCACGAGGACGACTGGTCCTCTCCCTCGTCTTGCCACGTGTCATCTGCAGAAAGAGGCAATCTGTGATCTTCCAACAGAGGCTTTGGGATAAGAACAAAAAAACGGAACGCTTCATTGCGTGGTCTATACAACATTGCTCATTCTGCCCGCTGGTATATTTGCTTTCGGCTGATTTACGCTTCATGTTGTTCTGTCCGAGCACGGAAAAAGGAGTTCTTTCCAAGCTCCTCCAGACTTCCGGAATTAGCAACCTGGGTTATTAGCCCCTGTTTTGCAGAACGGGTGAAAGCAGCCTGGATCGTCTGGGCTCTGAGACGCTCTTGCTTGCTGCGCTAAGCATTTTGATAGTCAATGAATCAACCATGTGAACTCATTTTCAGAAACATCGTCGCCACGTGCGCTTTGGTCCCACGCGCCCTGCAACCGCTACGACAATTTCGCTGACACTCTAACAAATCCTAAGGGACTGGCAAAGAGAAGACACGGAAAGAGGAAAGAAAGGCGAAACAACCGGTGTTTGCCCGACCTAACCGCTCCTTCGGCGCCCTATGGCAAGTCTTACCTTGCTCCTCTTCCCCATCCGCCTCATCATCACCCTCGCCATCTTCCCCGTCTTCACTCCCCCCCTCGTCTTCATTTTCGCTGCCCTCACTCTGTCCCCCCCCTTCAGACCCCTGCCATTCCTCCCCCCTTGCCCGCTCCTCCCACTCTTCCACCGTCACTTCCCGACACCGCCCCCCTTCCAGCAACACAATCCGATCCGCCGCCCGCACTAGTTTCTCGTCATGCGTCGCCACGACACGTGTCTTGTCGGCAAGATAGCCGAGCAAGCATTTTTCAAACACCGCCTGCGACACGTGGACGTCCAATCCGCGCAGGCAGTCGTCCAAAACGTACAGCTCGGATTCCGGACGCCGGTAGCACGCGCGCGCGAGCGCGCACCGTGCGCGCTGCCCCCCGGAGAGAGTCGCGCCGCGCTCCCCGACCGCGGAGTCCGCGCCCGCCGGCCCCAGCGCCGCCACGTCAGCGGCCAGCTGACACGCGTCGATGACGTCAGCGAAGCGCTTCTCCTCGTACGGCGCCCCAAAGGTGACGTTGTCCTTCAGGCTCGCGTTCTGCACCCAGGGCTCTTCCCCGACTAGTGCCAAGCACCCGCCGGTAACTGCGACGCTCCCGCGAGTGCACACGGCGCCCCCGTTACAAATCGCGGAGAGGAGCGTCGATTTACCGGACCCTACGGGCCCGACGATCGCCACAAACTCGCCGCGCTTCGCCGTCAGAGTAACGTCCTCCAATACCGGTCGGTTTGCTCCTACCGGGCCGACCGCCGAGTCTGCCAGGCTATCATTGTTTCCTCCCGGGGGCTTTCCCCGGCGGTGTTTTCGGCCCCCCTCGCTTACCCACCCAAAGTCCGCATGCGCGATCTCGAACGCGGAATCCGTTCCGGGGGGCAGGCTCGCAAGCGGCTGCAACTCCGGGCCGAGCAGAAAGTCCTGTATGCGGTGGTACGACACGCTCGCGTTTATGAGGGCCCGGTAGATCCAGGGGATGTAGTTCACGTTCATTTGCAGGATGTCGAGCCACGCGATCGTCGTGAACGCGGTCGTGATCGTCAGCTGCTGACGCATGACGAGGCAGTACCACGCGAAAGTGACGAGCGGAACGGCCGCCGGAACAGTGTCCCACAGCAGAACCTCGCTCAGCTCCCACCACACGAGGCGCAGCCGCTGCGCCAGCTCCGCCGCGCGCTTCTCTGTGATCCACGTCAGCATGAGGTCGTCCCACCTGGGCGAAGGCCAAGAAGGTGGTGTCAGCGGGCAGATTATGGACACTTTTGCGAGTCAATAAAGGAGAGTCGATTCAGGACACTCGGTAGAGGTTTGAAAGCGCTTCCAAATCTCTGAAATGTGATCTGGGAATTCGACTTGGTAGAGACTTGTATGAAGGGCAGAGTTGTTACCCGTATATGTAACTTCACGCTTCGAAATGGTTGCGCCACAGGAAGCACGAAATTTGAGTGCTTAGAGTTCGAACTCGATTTTCTGAAGGCTGGGACTCTAATTGCGGAAGGCGTCGTGCATTGCTTATGCCCCATTGCCTCGGAGGAGGTTCAAATGGCAGTGAGACATCAAAAGCTTTGCTGATCCATGTCAAAAAAGCGCACCCGCTGTTTGGACACAAGGCTCGCCCAGAATTAACGGCGCCAGCAAACCTTCAAAGCGAGGACGCAGACTGCACCTGAAACCTGCTAAGACCATGTCAAAGCTTGAGAGTATTGGACAATTCCATATAGAAGAAACATGCGAAAAGCCTCTCAGGCCAATCAATCAGCAAAGATGACACAGCCTTAGAGCTCTGAAGGAGACAGCGAGGCAATTATGGGCGGAGTAAAAGCACTCACGCGAGGCACTTGACAACTAGGATGGCGCGAACCACTTCCCCGAGCAGCTTGACGCGTGCATCACGCGCCTCGTACATGGTCTTGGTGACGCGCTTTACAATGCCGGCCACCCACACACTGGCGGGGAGCAGCGCAACTATCACGCTGATGCCGATCAAGTACGCGGGGCCAACCAGGCGGTACAGGAAGAACCCGGGGAGAATCGTGTTCATTACCTGAGAAAGAGTCAAAAAGCTTGAGTTGACCTGAGTGCAGCGGTGCAAGAAGAGAGTGAGAAACTCTCAACAGTGTCCCACATCTTACTAATTAGAGTGCGAACTCCTAGTTGGTATCGGCTGCATACGACATGAGTGTCACAAAGCAGAACAGGCAGATCCCCACGTTGTCAGAATGACAGAGCAAGCGTGAATTGAACCTCTGACTGGCTGAAAATTCAGTCAGGGAGGCAGTCTGCCATAATTACCCCCGATTATAGCTGGGCAACCGAACATTGGTGTGAAGGCCTTTGAGCCGCAATCGGAGAATCCGAAAGGGGTGTTACACCCCAATTGGACGGTGCCGAACTTCTAAGGGGCTGACTCAAATGTGGCAGACTACCTGAGAAGAACGCTTATTCCCCGGTAATTCATCGGGCAAAAGCTGTGCTGGCCATGAGTCTCCCTTTGGTCTGCCAACCCGTCTACTCTCTCGTAGTTGACTTCCAAAAGGACTTTTGGTACAGACACTGGAACCAAGGCAGCCACAGGGAAACCCATCGCCGCACAGCTTGCAGTGTGGTCAAGGCTATAGGTGCGAACGGGAACCAAGGCCTTGCCCATACTTTCGCAGGAGAGAGCGATTAAACATTGAGGTGCCTGTGATCGTGTCGCCACCAGAAGAACTGGCGTCTTAACCCTCAAGCAATCACAGCCAAATCTTGCAAAAGCAGATAAAAGAGCTGCCATCATCCAAAAATCTCTCACCATGGAGACAGTCCACCACTGCACGTACGGCAGCACGCTCCCCGTGATCGCATCCACATCGCTCGCCACCAGATTCTGCACCTTTCCCCCCGCGTGCTTCCCCTTTACGGCGGGGGGCATTCGCAGCACTTTCCCATACAGCGCCGCAATCAGGGTGTATTTACACTGTATGGACACCTGCATTAATTGCATCCACATGGCGTGCGTCCCTGCTGACCTCATCATCGTGAACAAGAAGAAGGCCAGCGCGTACTCTGCTGCGCGCCAGGTGGCAGCCCCTGATTGCCCGGTATCTTGTGTTAGGTATGTGAGAACCCGTTGGAGAAGGAGAGGGCACGCAAGGCTGCCAACCTCAGCTATGAAACAGGGGATCGCTTGCAGGGCGACGCGGCCGCCATAGACGCGAAACAACGCTCGCAGGAGCGACGGCTTGCTTTTCGCCCGTTCTTTCGCCCACTCTAGTTGGAAACGGCAGGTGGGGGGCTCAGGATCGTCTGTCTTCGGGAGGGGGGGAACGTCGACCGGCTGGAGGGGGCGCTTGTATCCGAGCTTGAGAAGGGGGAGAATGTACCAGAACGTGAGGCGCGAGAGCGGTCCCGCTCGATCGTACGCGTTCACCAGGGGGGTGTGGGGGCTGCTCTTTGCAAAGGCGCTGTAAGCGGTGGTGATAGCGTGGGCGGTTATTAGAACAAGAGCGAGGGCGCCGCTGAGGAGGTGTGTCGCAAGCTCCGGCCGCCAGGTGGCGCGATCGTGGGGCACTTGCCATGCAGAGACGAAGCTGATGCCAGCTGCTAGCGCCCACCACCAGGGGAGAATTGGACCAGGGAAAGCTAACCCTCTGCGGTGTTCCAACAAGCTTAACAGCAGCGCCGCACCCCAGGCAAGGGTTAGGGTCACAAACTGGGTTAGCTGTGCGCTTGATTGTGCATGCGTAAAGGAAAAAACTATGTACAGTTGACCTATAATCTGGGCTAGGGATATGGAAACTGCCAGCCAAAGTACAGTGGCGGAGCTTGATCGCTGTCTGAACTGCCTGTCAGAGTCGGGTAGCAACGGACTGCTGATGTCCGCTTCTGTATCAGAATGGGGACGGATTCTGGTCAATTGGAAGCTCCGCCAGAGCAGGAAGATGCTGGCCACCACGCTGCAAGCTGCCGCAATTGCAGGCACCCGAAAATCGCTTTCCTCGGCGGGCCCCTCCATCGTACCAGCGACGTACTGTTTCCAATTCTGCAACTCAGGACAGCATCCTCTGGAGAAAACCTCCTAAAAGTAATGAAGACAAAGAGGTTTGATCAGAAGATTCTGATGTCGAACCCATGCTGCGCATCCCTGCATATGAAGTTGACAAGACAAGGGGCTCTATGAGCTTTCGTGAAGACCCCCCCCACTGTCAAGCGCAACTGTCAAGCGACCCCATGATTGCGGGGGATCCCCCAGCATGCCCAAGTCGTTGGCACGGTAAACAGCAAGCCAAATGAACTTCGGATTAAAATTTGGGCCACTCAGAGAGCGCCATGTCAGCCCCCCCGGGAGTCGCAAGAGTGGAGGTAGCAGGCCGGTGCCTAACCGCGGTCGAAGGCCCATCCCGGAAGTGGTACATACCACATTGTGTTGTCTGGTATCAACCGGGCACTCACTTAGGGACAACTTACAAGAGGCCAATATGCAGCCTTTCTTTCCTTAAGTGTGGAGGAAGTACCCACCGTCGGCGATTTCCGACTTATCAATTTAATTTTACGACGACCGCGCGTCCGGATTAACTTACGGACGGTGTCCGAGTTGGTTGTGTCAAAAAGGAGTTCACGGACTCTACAGCGGCCCACGACGGTGTTGACCCAGTGAAGCGCGCGGCGTCGTAGCTATCCGGCGAGTTTGTCGTGTTAATTTGTGACGCATTGCTTTTCAATCGAGTGTCTAAATGCAGCTGGAGCACAAAAAGTTTTACCCACTTTGTAGGTAAATCGAATTTGTATAGTTTATGAGCGCCCGTTGACGATAATCCCGTGTCATGGTGGGGTCCACGCGCCCGCTTTCCCCGCTATTCGTAACTCGGAATCGTCGACTCTCCTTAGCCTCGCATTTCGCCCGCTGACGACGCTGCCTATATAACCATAGATGCACCCAAGCTGCTAAACCATGCAAGGACTTTGAATTGTGTCCTATAGTGTGCAAGAGTATGCATGATCGGAATTTAGAACAGCATGCACTCCATAACTTAAACCGGATTTTGCAGGGCACACCAAGAAGGCGTTGTACATTAATTGCATGGGCGGTGACGCGCACCTAAGATGAGCTCTGCTTTGCACGGATTCTTCTATGAAACAAGTTGTTTTGCGCATGCTTTCTCATGCCCGTGTTTCATGAAGCCACTAGTGAGGTAGACAAACCTCGAGAAAGAACACCCGCAAATTACATGAAGAAACGAATTCGAGGTCCGAGCTTTTCATGAAGGAGGTCACACCGCCCCTGGTCTGCAGAAGCAAGCGCCCGCCTGTTTATTGTCTTGGCTAACTCTAGCTGCGCTCGCACGCCTGCCCCTGCTTTTGCATCCCCTGCTTGGCGAAGCATACACACAAACATCGTTTGACTTATTTCCTTAACAATATAGGAGCCTAGCACACTAATCCGAATCGGTAGCTTCGACATGGCCGATGTCGATGCTGTTGAGTAACCGGGTGAGCCTGCAAATTTCAACGAGTCAATCAGAACCTGGTCACCATATACAGCCTGACAAACCTTCTCTTTTTTGCGTTTCGTCTTTGGCTGGCTCACGCAATTCAGTTCTGACAGAGCTAGGACTGGAGATCAAACCCAAGAGTTTCAGAGAGAGTTAATGCGTGCATTTCAAACAAGAAACAGCTTCCTGCCAATGCAGCAGCGCTCGCAAGTCTCAAGGCTCTGCACCTGAGCAAGGTTTGCCGTACACATCCATGCGATCCATGCGATCGATTGAGTCTGTGGCCCCGCTGCCCTTCTTACCTCTCCCCGTCGATTCGTATCTTCCAGGTGTAGGTCGGCTTCACCGAATTCGGCGGCAGGTCTGGCGACGGCAGCGGTGGCAGCATCCTGATGATTGCGCGTTCTGCCAGCTCCGCGTGGAGGTGGCGCGCCAGCACATCCTGCGCCTGCCATCGAAGCATTCATTGAATGTCAAAACCAAACCTTTCCGACCAGACTTCTGTTGCAACTTTTGCAGATGAACGAGTGCGATCTCAGGAAAATATCGTTAGCAATTGCTGACTTCAGCATGCACACTGGAATGTGCACCATCCGCAGATAAACACGCCAGGAAGCGAGCAGCAGTGCCAGAGAAAGCATGCTTGAAGGAAAGCGACATGCCTCCAGGAAAGGCAAACATGCCTCAGCACTTCAGTCCCTTCAACGGAAGGCACAAATACACTCTGACTGATTGGGCCGAAGGCCCTCGCCCGTAATTGAACTGCAGGAATGAGTTGAACAGCCATCCATATCTCAAAGAGGCGAGCATGAACATTCCGATGAGAAGCTGCTCATTCCACTCACCTCCCGCGCGTTGGGCCTCATGGTGCAGAGGTCCCTGATGTCGGGCGCCTCCGCATAGTAGAAGGGGACTCCCGTCTCCTCGTGCAGCTCTCGCGAGACGTACGCAGGGTACTCCAGCCCGTGCAGCACCTTGGAGAACACGTCCTTGACATCATAGTCGTCCGCCTCCTTGACGCGCGTCCACTCTCCCGCCTTCAGCTTTGCAGCGCCCTGCTCCAGACTCCCGCCTTCCGCTGCGCTGCCGCTCGCACCACCTGCTTCAGTCCGTTTTCGTTTCTGCGGCTCCTTCCCCTTTCCCTCCCCCTTGAATCTTCCCCTGGCCCCCATGCCGCGCTGAACCACTTGCTGCCCCACCGCTGGCAAGAGGACAAAGGAGAATCTTAGCATCAATTCCTGCAAAAGCATGTGTGGTGAAATTGTGGATCATAACCTAACAGCGCAGTCCCACTGCCAGACCATCTCAGATATTATTCAACGTGGTGATGCCCAACAGGAGGTATTCTTGACCTCCTTGCTCATGCAGCAAAGCGATAAGGAAACATCCAACGCAAGTAGCCTCCTGAAGTCCCAAAAGCAGCTCCTCGAATCTCGATCAACGATTCAAAAAGAAGGCCCTTCTCCAGACTCAATTGATGAAAATGTCGCGGAAAAACTGTCGCAAGCTCTTACTTCAAGAACCAAGGATGCAGTGTGTGACCAACGCGAGCACAAAGGCCCTGGACTCAGAATGCTAGGCCGGAACATGGACTTATGCACTCTTTAAACAGCAGATTGCATGGTGAGCCGCACCAGCCATTACTTCTTCTTCTTCCCTTTCTTGTTTTTCCCCGGCCCTTCTTCAGCCTCTTTCTGCTCTGCTTCCTCCTTCGCTGCGTTGCGTTTGGCCTCCTCCAAGAATTCAATTGCTTTATCAACGTAAGTTTTGACCCTGAATGAATTATTGACGTTAGAGTCCCTTAAGAAACCGAAGTTTGGGTAATCTACGTGATAAAAGCAGATGTCGCCGTTACCTAGTTTCTTCTTTCGCTGCTTGAACCCCAAATCTTTCAACTCTTTCACCAAATCATCGAAGTCTTTGCCCATTTAATAGCGCTCCTGCACCAAGCTACTGCCACTGGGGCGCTTTAGAAGTGATCAATGATGTCACAACCCAGTCCCAACAACCAACATCAGCAAATGAACTTCGGACTAAAATCCGGGCCACTCAGAGAGCGCCATGTCAGCCCGCCCAAGGGGTGGCAGGTAGACCGAGCGGTCGAAAGGCTTCTCCAAGGACAACAAGGAGGTCGAAGCCAACCGGGGGCTAACCATTACCGCTCTGATTCACATCAGCACGGTAACGACTTCGCTCTGAGTGCACTCTTGCGTCCAAGTGTCCGTCCCAAATCCAAACCTGCAGTGTTCAGTCACACTAGGATTCTGACGTCGGCAGCGCCGTATACTACAATATTTTTAGCATTTTACATGGTATGGCCGGTATACCCCGAGCCTTCTAGAAGGTATGAGAAAGTGCCAGCTGTCAAGAAATACAGCACATCCAGCCGAATATACAGTCAGCAGCAGCTTGGAATATCCGGCCCGAACCTGCTGCGGCCCAAGGCATATATATTACCACCTTTCCTACACTGCTGGACAGAGCTCAGGACTGCCTGGCTTTTGCCCTGAGACGGTTTCGAATTGTTGAGATTGTTGTGCCAGAAGGCCGTGGTGAGCTGCTCAGCCGCAACAAAGAAGCTTCCGTCAGGTACGTCCGTCACAGGGAATGCAAACTGAAGAAGCTTCTTTGTGCGATTCTTCCTTCAGTGAACACATTTCTTTATTATGGTTCTATCATTGGGGTTGACGAAGAGCTGCAAGTGAGCCTTCGTATGTCAAGACGCTTGCAATAGCGCCAGGTATATAGCGCGCATCAGGTGCTTTGGCTGGCTGATTCTGACCATCTGCTGTTAGGCAGGTCTGGACTTGCTGATGGGCTTATACTGTGGGGTGATCTCAAACCCCGTAGCTTTGCTGACTTGGCCCCAGCGTTGGGTTGGCTGAAATCAGCTGTTAAGCTTGATAAGGGCCAAGCTGCTGGGGGGTATCACAGTCGCCGCTGCGCTAACTTCTCTGATGCTTGGGGAAGCGGGGTGGTTCCGCTGAATCAGGGCCCGCTGTCGGGCCGATCTTGTGACCACTGTCGAACGGGTTCACGGTTCACTGGGGTCGATTGTGGGATCGCGTGCTGGTTCTTGTCCAAGGGGGGGAGGGGGGGACATATCGAATACTCACTGTCTATGGTCGAACAATGTGTGCTGTTTATGGTGATGCTGATGCGTAATTTTTGTAATCTGCTCTACCCACTTCCTCTCTATTTCCCACGCTGTGCAGGCAATGGAGGAGACGGATTCTCCTGGTGGCCATGCTCCTGGGGACAGCTCTCAAAGTTCCTTCATGTTGCCCAAAGGGCTGCAGGTGAGGTATCCATATTGATGGGGCGGACTCTGTCCGAGTGTCCGAGTTTTTGTCACACGTTTCGAGAGGGGAGCTCCTTGACGACCGTCAGCATACACCCCCGATAGGATGCCTTGTAGTTGATGGGGCGGACTCTGTCCGAGTGTCCGAGTTTTTGTCACACAATTCAAGAGGGGAGCTCCTTGATGACGTCAGCATACATCCCCGATAGGATGCCTTGTAGTTGATGGGGCGGACTCTGTCCGAGTGTCCGAGTTTTTGTCGCACCTTTTCAGACCGAGCTCCTAGATGACGTCAGCAGCCATCCTCGAAAGGATCCTCCGTATTCGATGGCGTGGTCACTGTCTGAGATGTCTTTATTGGGGGGTAAACCACAATCGAGATTAGTTTGGTGTCAGATTGTTCATTGAAGATTCTTCTGCGAGCAGGCGCACTTCGGACAAGAATTCTGGTAAGGACGCCTTTCAGGATTTGATGTATCTCAGGGGTTAGCTCGAGATCTTTCCTTTGCCATCGAACACAGGTGGCTCGTCAAGCACATCTGGTTAACACTCTTCAAAAACAAAAAGCAACCCGTTGCCTTCCTTCTTACATACCTCCCGATGCTTCAGCGGTCGGAATTCCGTGCCCGATCATTGCACACGGCAGCTTGAAGAATCCGTTTTTCAAGCGGTTGACAATCCCCTCTCTTTGCCAACAATCCCACCACACGTTTCTTTGTTTGCAGGAGCATGAGACCCGCCAACCGCAAGGGCCTGCACTACATGGCCTCATCGACCCCAGCCACTTCCGCGACTTTCAACGCAGGCTGAGGGAGGAAGTGGCAGCTTCACAGCAGCTCGAAGCGGCCACCACCGACTCACAGGTTCGTGTGAAGATAACTCTGGATTGTGTCGAATTCATCTACTAGGCAGGCGTACCTCGAGAATCATGCCAGTGATTTGGGGACAACTAGTGCTCTTCTGTTAACAGCTCGGCTTGTCATGATAGATGCGGACGTCAGGAATCAGGCCCGAGCCCAGAAGGCAGGACGTCAGCAACACGTGCTCAAGCAGTCTGTTGTCGTGATGTTGCACGATCATTTATGAACACTTGCCGGTCCACCTGCCAGCATTGAGGCCTTTCTTGCGCCTTTTTCGCTTGGACTTTTGCCTGTCCGGCAAACTTCTGATCAACACCTCCCGCTTACGTGCAGGAGGGAGGCGCCCCAGATGACGGTATCCCGAGCCCTTCAGAGAAGATGACGAGCAGCTTCCCTATCGAGACCCCCGCCGGCGCTCCTGGAGCATCCATGGACGTTGACAGTCGGCCACAGTCGTCCAGCGCACAATGCAGCCAGGTGCGTTTCAAGTGCGACTGCATGCGGTCGCTTAATAAGAGAACCAAGCAAGCATATCCATTTGCATACACATCCCTATAAGACTTCTGGAATCAGGTGGCATCTTAGCCAGATGAAAGCGGCCACCAACGACTCAGAGGTAAGTGTGAAGTCGATTGAACAGCCCTTCCCCCAACTTGCCTAAGTAGCCGCAAGAATCATATCTGTAATCTGGTGGCTGTCTCTTAAGAACTCATCTCGCCATAGTTTCTGATGATGTCACGATACAGGCTCGAGCCCAAAAGGCACGTCACACACTTGGACACTCAGACAATGTCCTCCCAAATCCCATCAACTACAAAGTTTTCTTCCTGGGACGTCTGCTGACGTCATCCAGGAGCTTCGCTCTTGAAAGGTATGGCAAGAAGTCAGACACTCAGACAGTGTTAGCCCCATCAACTACAAAGTTTCCTTCTAGAACGTCTGCTGACGTCATCCTGGAGTTTCGCTTTTGAAAGGTGTGACTAGAGCTCGGACACTCGGACAGAGTCTGCCCCATCAACCACACAGGGATTTACTCGGGATGTTTGCTGACGTCATTATGAAGCTTTGCCCTTTGAAGGTGCGACAGAAACTCGGACACTTGGACACGGGTTTCTGCGATGCAGCGCATGTTGTGGTCCAACCAGTAGCTCGCATCAGATTGCTCCATCGAAATCTTCAACTGTTTTTGCCATGATGTTTGATGAGGTCACGAAGCAGGCCCGAGCCCAGAAAGCACTCCAGAAAGCACTCCAGATACCTGGACACTTGGACAGGTGCTGGCAGTGTGTCTCAACTCGCATTTGCCATCAGATTGCCATTGATCTTTGATGACGTCACGAAGCAGGCCCGAGCCCAGAAGGCATGTCAAGAACTCGGACACTTGGACAAGGACTTTTGACAGCATCTGATTTTGGAACCAGCAGCTCGCCTTTAATTGCTTCATCGATTCATCTGATCTTTGGCGGCGCGCACACTTGTGCAGGGCGGCGATGATCGGCAGGCGCCGCGCCTCTTCTGCGGAGACGAGTCGCAGAAGACGGAGTCGGAATGGGAGGGCGAGGACATTGAGGGGGCGGAGTTCGAGAGCGCGAACGAGACCTCGGACGAGGAAACCTCCCAAGATCGCGCAATGATCGACGACGCCCCTCAGGAAGAGGAGAACGAGGTGGTGCGGTGCGGCCGGTTCGCCGCGATGGAGACAGATTCCGATGAAGAGGATTTTTCCCAGGTGCTGGCAAGGCTCAAGCGGCGCGCGCCTGATGGGGCGACCAACCCGCGCAAAACCAGCCGTCGCCGCCGCGTGCTGCTGTCACCCGAGTCTGACTCCTCGAGCGAGGAGGACAGTCCGCACTCCCCGGTTTGCAGCCAGGGCGTGATCGCCAAGCACCCCCCCATGCCGGAAGAAGGGTCTGCGCTTGGGACGGATTACCCAATGCCAGACGACCTCCCTTCGGAACCTGAGGACGACGGCTGGTCCGACGACCTCCCACCAGAGCCCGAGGACGACGGCTGGCTGGACCTGTTGGACCTAAGCCTGGAGGATGACTTTGCGAGAGCGTGTGTGATCGCCCCGCGTCCGCGTTCGATCAGCCGCCAGGTGAGCACCCTCCCCCCTTCCCCTGACTCGCATCTGGACAGAACTCTAGGTTGTCAGATTTTGGGCACTCAGCAAATCGCATCAAGGTATGGTTGCGTGCCCAGAAAAGCCAGCGCGCAAATTGCTGGCAAAGTTGCGAAAGTTTACAGGACGTAGTGACAGATTGGTGTACATCAACCGCCATTCAATCGCCGAGGTGAAAGCTGGTGTTTGTGTACATCAACCGCCATACAATTGCCGACCTGAAAGCTGGTTTTGTGTACATCGCCATTCAATCGCCGCCTGGGTTGCTGATGTACACGAAATCTTAGGGTTTGAGTTTCCGAAGCGATTAGAAACTTGGACAGCCTTGGGCGGTTTGTTCAGTGACCCTCTGGGTTGGCAAGAGGGCAGGAGGTGTACATGCTCAGAGAATCATTGTCTCCTTGCATGAGCGGCTGGTGCTCGTCGCGCCCAATCGAGAATGCCTGCCAATAAAACACAGATTTTCAAAGCACGTTCAGAGTTCGAGACGCGGCACCTGCATTCCAACAAAGTACTCACTGAGAAGGGGCGCCTTGTGTTCTGCTCGTTCATCAGGCTTCACTTGACCCCGCGTAGGGAATGCTCAAGAAAGGTGCAGCTTTTCGTGCAGCGCTACGAGGGTGAAGGATTAACGGTTTGATTCCAAATTTATCACCTTTTTCGCAGGCCGTAGCTGCCGACGGTGCCCCGACCGCCCTTGACGCGGCCGGGCTAACCTCGCTTGAGCCGCGCACTTTGCCGTCGGACCCCATCCGGAGCGCCGTAGTTGCCCAGAGCGCGACCAGGGCGGCCCAGCAGGAGCAGCACACACCTGCTGCACCCCAGGACTTGGGGGACGCGCCCAACTCCGGTTCCGCCCCTGCCCGCTCTTCCACGTCTGCTGCGCCAGAGCCGGACGTGGCTGCGCCCCACACCCCTTTGCCCTCCTCGACCGCCCAAGCACCTATTGCTCCCTCCGCCGTTCCCCAGGGCATCGCGGTGCAGGAGACGGCGGCTCCTTGCCAGGTGGGCTCCTTGAATAGGGCAGTTTTATCTTGGTACCCGTCCTGGAAGTGTCTACTGCGAAACTTGAAATTGTGCTCGCTCAAGTCTAGGGATTCTTACGGTTGGCGCAAGCTCGGGGTGCCCGTCATCAGGGACCAGGCCATATGGGAAGCCCGAATGAGTGTGTATCTCGAGCGTCTGGCGTACCACCTGACAAACGTACCGAGTCGCGAAGTAAGAATGGAGCATCTTTCTTATGATGGTTATGACTGGCACGAGTCCAGCCCGTTTGGTAAAGCAAAAGGGAAGCGCAAGCGCACCTAGGGCTGCTACTTGATGCGCAACAGGTGCACTTACATGTGTGATCTAGAAGGCCACTTTGGGGCCAGGTTTTGGGGGGCCAGTTTGGGGGCCAGTTTTTAAGGGCCAGTTCGGGGGCAAGTTTGGGGGCCTTTTAAGGGCAGGTTTGGGGGCCAGTTTTTGGGGGCCGGCTTGGGGCCGGTTCGGGGGCCAGTTTGGAGGCCAGATTTTAAGGGCAAGTTTGGGGGCCAGATTAGATCTACTTCAAAGGGGGTTGGGTCGAGGGCCAGTTTGGGGCCAATCCAAGTTCCTGAGTCCAAAACAATGATGGTGCACAAGGGGCGAAACAAGGGTTTGAGATCCCCTTCCCCAGAGTTCGTGCAACTGCCAAAGCTAGGCGCCAACCTCACAGATGCTTCCGTCCTCCACAGGTACCGAGCCCATCTGACGTGGGGAGGCCGTCGCGAGTCGACCCCATCTTGGCCGCCGCCCATCACTTTCACGCGATGGGCGTGGCATCGCTGACGTTCAACATGAAAGTCGAGTTGGACAAGGAGGGCAAGGAGACCAAGAAGCCTGCTGACCTCATGCGCGGGTGGCAGAAGGAGTGCGATCTCGGCAACTGCTTGCGCAGAGGTGTCCGGCCTGGCAAAAGCTGCCTTGCCATTGTGACCCAGCCCTCCGACATCTACGCCCTCGACATCGACGCGAAGGACGGCGGGGCGGAGGCCTTCGAGCGGATGCTGGCAGCTCACGGCCCCTTGCCTGATGACACCCCATGGGAGTGGTCGGGACACAGGCCTGGGAGACATTTCTTCTTCTCCCTGTCGCTGTCCAAGGCCGCGGGGTTGCTGAGTGGCGCCGGAAGGCAAGGTCTGGTTTACGAAGGCGAAAAAGTGGGCCTCGACACGCGTGGCGAGGGGGGCATGTTGTTTGTGGGCCCCAGCAGCTACAAGGGCGTGGACGGCGCGGTCCGGCGGTACGAGTGGGTGCAGGAGATATTCCAGACCGCTCCAACCTTCGGGCTATGCCATCGTGGTTGATCAAGATCATCAATGACAGCAGCGCACCTGCAGCACCACCAAGGTACTATTCCCTTTTTGGTTTTCCATGTCTGGATCAAGAAGCTTGCATGGGGGTTTACGCTTGTCGTGTGCTTGGAGTCTGATTCTGCGCGTTCTGCATTACCCGCGGTCTTTGCGTGCCACCCAGCCTGTCCTGGAAGCAATCAGGCAATCAGGCCGATTTGGAGGATGCAATTAGGCAACTCTCTTGTCTAGACCTAGGCTGTTTGGGCCGCACAGTCAGGCTGTAAGGCGAAGCACAGTCAGGCTGTTTGGGGTCACACAATCAGGCTGATTTGGAGAGGCACAGTTGGGTTTCTTGCCCACAGCGAAAGCCGATTCTTGGCCCCAGTCAGGCTAGGGGCGCAGCTAGCCTGGTTCTGATGCATCAAGATTGAGGGGCGCGCAAGATTTCAGCTTGAATTCGACCAGCATCCGAGCCCAAAGTTAGGTTTGCTCTTGGGACACAATGATGCTGGTTCCTTCACTGTAGTCGATCTGCTTTGGGCCGCGTTTCAGGCACTTTCGTTGAATTGCAATCGGGCTCTTGCAAAGAGCGCGACGAGATTGTTTTGTAAATCCGTGCATTGATTGTTCTCTCGGCCGTGCTCGGGCAATTCCGGGGGGGCGCATCCAGCTTCTTTCCGAACGATGAGTTGTCTGGCTTAAAATTCGCAGTCAAGCTCGTAGTCAGGCGGTATTCGGCCCATTTTGGGCCGCATTTAAGCAGATCTTCCTTGGCGGTGCTTGCTCTTCCCTTCCATTTAGGGACCTCCTCATTCGATTTCATCTGCAGGCCAGCGTCACAGCCACCCGATCGCTTCGCGGAAGGCCTCGACGCCCACGAAATCGAGCTGCCCCCTCCGCCAGCTGTTCTGGAGCGCGTTCAGAAGTGCCTCGCGGACGCTGGAGACTCCGACTCATGCTTTGACAAGCTCAAGAGGTCCTCTGCGGGCGACATGTACGTGTTCCGCGTGAATGGCGCACGCGTGTGTCCGTATGGGGCCAATCACAGCGGCTCCAACAACTTCTGCGTCCTCGTGCGGGGTCGCAACCTCCTCTACAAGTGCAACAGCCCGGAATGTTGTGACATTCACCCGCCGCGCAAGATCGGTGAGCTCACGGTAAAAGAGAGCATGATGGGGGGCGAGACAGCCCCAGTTTCTGAGGACGACCCGACCGTGTACAAGGAGCTGACGAAGCCGTTCGTGGACTACTGGGCGTTCAAAGGTGACATGGGGGCCAGTCGGATCGTCGCACAGATGTACTCGAGGTGCCACAGGTGGTATCATCTACTCCTTTTTCTCTGTGGTAGCGGTTGCGACTTTGGAAAACTCCCCTGAATGAAGCTGCAGCCATTGTCTTCCATCCTGTTGCTCTCCTGCTCATCTCAAGGAGAAAGTGTCTGCATGCATCTTGCTCAATTCTTGTCGTGATCAATGTCTCCTATTGTCGTCTTTGTCTTCGTGTCCGTTTTTCAGCTAGCCTTTCTGGATGAGGAGCTTGGGATGGCGTCAGCATCTCTTTCACTTGACGTTTATTGTGATTGAGAGCATGCACTGTGTTCCGTGTAAGTGTTCGAGCTTTAGCAAACCTTTTTGGGTCGTGAGCTCGGGATGACGTCAGCATCTAATCCGCCAGATGTTCACTGGAATTGAGAGCCTGCATTGTATACCGTGTCCAAGTGTTCGATTGCTGCCAACCTTTTTTCTTCAGGAGCTCGGGGGTGATGCCACTTGCAATCCCACCTTAAGTTTGTTGTCGTAGAAAGCCTGCACCGTGTCCATGTGTCCGAGTTTTCACAGAAAAAGTCTTCTGTTCAGGAGCTCAGGATGAAGTTAGCAGCCGCCGGCCCATGCATGTTTCGTTATGTCAAGCGCTACGGCTCCTAAGCGCTGACTTTTGAAGGCATTGACGGTGTTAGCCCACAGAGTGACACCTTTTCGTGAGGTTTTGCAGGATCTGGAACGACGGGAAGACTTGGTGGATGTGGGATGGGAAGCGTTTCAAGCAGGCTACTGCCGAGAAGATCAAGTTTGTCTGCCTCCACCAGCTCAGCACTGTGTATGCTCGAGTTCGAGCCGAATTGAAAGAGCGTTTGAGCGTAACCACTGACGAGCAGGAGAAGATGGAGCTAAAGAAAGCTCTTGACAGAGTCAGACGATACTACGACGCTGGCGAGATCAGTTCGACCCTGACGATCATGATGGGGGAGATGGCCCTGGATCTGGTGGGGGAGCTGGACTCTAATCCAGACATCCTCAACGTCCAGAATGGGGTCGTCAACTTGCGCACCGGCGAGCTGGACATCCACAGGCCGGAGTACCTGTGCACGAAGCTGGCTGACATCAACTACAAGGTGTTTTGTTTGCACGTTGTGGCTTGTTTTCTGTCGTCATGCAATTTCAGGATGGAATATCGTCGAAATTCTGGTGCACAAAAGAATTGTGAAAGAGAAATACTTGTTTGAGTCTCTCTTTGGTCCTTGCAATCGCTCCCTATTCAGGCAAGCATCCGTGCGAGTTACTTGGGGACCAACTTACTAGAAAGAGTCAAGAGTTTGCTGTATCGAGGCTTTGCGCTCTCTTTCTTGATTTTTAGTTCAGGTTGGCGTCTTTTCCTCCAGTGCTAAGCATCTTTCTGCCTGGTATGTACACGCATAAGCGCAACAGCTGAATCTGAAGGCAGGGCGTTGACGCTTCACGGCATCCTGTCCCTTTCTCACGAGTCTTTGTGCTTGATTGCAATTGCGCTTGTCCGCATGGCGTCTTTCAAAGAGAGTCCCGGTTAGAGGCAGACGTCCTTTGACTTAAAAGACGCCAAGGAGAATTCGATTGAACCGTCTAAATCATTCTTTGCAGGGGCTAGGTCACCCGACGCTCACCGTCGAGGGTTTCCTGGACGACATCTTCAACGGGGACCGAGCGTTGATTGACTTCATGCAGAGGCTCTGGGGGTATGCCATCAACGGACGTACCTCGGAGGAGATTATTGTGTTCTTACTCGGAAGCGGCGGTACGTCTTTCTCTCCTTTGGCTCTGATTTTGTCCGTCCAAGTATTCCTTTCTTTCTTTCGGCCGTGGTCGTCGACTGGGATTGATGGCGCAAAGGTGTCCAAGTGTCCGAGGTTTTGATGAGCGTTTTTGAATCGACCCCCTTGGATGACGTCAGCAGCCATTCCCTGCGCTTCCACCTGTGATTGGTGGCGCGAGGGTGTCCGAGTGTCCCACTTTTTAACAGACATTCTGTGTATCCTTTCAGAATGTATGTCCTAGGCTCAGCCTAGGACATACAAATTTGAACCTCTTTGATGACTGTGTCAGCAGCCATTCCCTGCACTTTCGCCTGTGATTGATTGCGCGAACGTGTCCAAGTGTCCGAGTTCTTGACGCACGTTTTCAGGTCGACCCTCTGGTGACGTCAGCAGCCATTCCCTGCACTTTCGCCTGTGACTCTGGTGATTTCATCAAAACTTGCACCAATAATCCACTGTGGTGAATGGCGCGAAGGCGTCCGAGTGTCCCAGTTCCCCGCTCGCCTTTCTCTTTGTCGCCTCTGGATGACGTCAGCAGCCATCCCTGACCGTTTATCGTTGGGATAAATGATCACGTCCACTTTGCTTTGATATCTTTGTCCATCACGAATCCTCTAACTCCATTTCAGACGCCCGCTTACGTGCTTTTCGACCCATTTCTCGTGCAGGGAATGGCAAGGGGGTCTGCAAGCAGATGCTGGAGACCACGCTGGGCGAATACTACGGCGTCATGTCCAAGGACGCCGTGGTCAAGGCCCCCGGACAACGCCCGCCGTCCAAGGGCGCTGCCACGGGCTACCTCGCCGAGCTTCAGGGGAAACGGGTGGCCGTGACGGACGAGACGAGCCCGGGCGAGCGCGTCGACCTGGGGGACGTGCTCAAGATGACCGGCGGGGGCATGGTCGCCTCCCGGCTCCTCTTCCAGAACAACGTCTCCTTCCGGTTCACCCACACGCCTTTCATCCAGACTAACTACGACCCCGAGATCCCCCCAACCCTGGCCAAGCAGCCAAACATCAACCGCCGCCTCATCGTGGTTCGCTTCCCAAACGAGTACGTGTCCGAGAATAAGTTTGACGAGACCAACCCGAACCACAGGCACGTGGACGTCGGGTTGAAGGACCGGATGGAGAGTCTGGCGGTCCGCGAGGAGTTCCTCACGTTTCTCGTCCAGGGAAGTCGGGCCTGGTACGAGGACCCCACGGTCTTGCGCAGGCATCCGGCGGCCGTCCAGGCGGCCTCGATGGCATGGCTGCGGCGCGGAGACAAGCTGCAGATCTTCCTGCAGTCGGAGCACTGCGCGCACGACCCGCCAGACACGCCCGACAATGCCAAGACGGTCACATGGGAGGACGAGTTCTGGACGCAGTTCCAGAGATTCACAGGGGTCAAGATTGCCAAGGAGGAGTTGGCTAGGCAGATGCGAGAGAAGGGTTACGCGAGAACGAAGCGAGCCGGCCGTTATGACGGGTCATCCCACCGGAGCTCGTGCTATTTAGGCTTCAAGTGCGAGTATGATTGATAGTTAGCGCTCGTCTGTAGAGTCAATTCATTGCCTTTCTCTTAGACTTGCTTCAATTGGTAGAGCATAGGAGCCTAAGATGTACATATTGTCCTCCTTTTTAGAGATAGCTAGATGCCCTAGGTGTACATTCTAGTAACCCCTTCACTTTGGTATTTATTATGCATGCGTTCGGACGAATTTCACGAACTCTGCCGATGTACCATTCTAAGTGAAATTTTTAGACCCCCTAGTCTCACCTTGGAATTGGGTTTGCACGTAATGTTGAAACTACTGAGTAAGTCTACAATACCACACACCCACACACGGTGGTAAACCCGATGTACAACCTCATGTACAACCCCATTCTTTTGCGTTGGATGGAACTGCTAATGCCACCATGTCGAATTCTCGATCACGAAGTCGAGTAGTATATACGCGCTACTTTGTACAACCGTAGTCTGGGCCTACGGTTGCAAATTGAACTTGAACCGCGGCTCATCGTCAACCGAGTTAGAAACCTTGCATCAATGATTTATTGATACACTGTCTTTGATGTAGCCAAAGATTCGCCAAGTAGTCCATCAAGCATGCTAGCTCGTAATATGCGTCACTGTAATCTTTGAACACTTGATCGGACACCTTCAAAATTCGGGCCGTTCATTGCAGTGCATTTTATTGGTGGCATGGCTGCTGACGTCATCAAGCATGCTCGGCCAAAAAAGTTACGTGAAAAACTCGGACGCTCAGACACCTTCGTGCCGTAATTACAGCACATCATTGGTGGCATGGCTGCTGACGTCATCAAGCATGCCGCGACTCAAAAAGGTACGTGAGGAATTCGGACACTCGGACACCTTCGTGCCGTTAAGTACAGAGCATCATTGGTGGGATAGCTGCTGACGTCATCAAGCATGCTCGACCCAAAAAGGTACATGACTCAAACTCGGACGCTCGGACACCTTCGCGCCATTGCTTACAACACATTATTGGTGGGAC